CTCTCTCTCTCTCTCTCTCTCTCTCTCTCTCTCTCTCTCTCTGTCTCTCTGTAACTTTCTTTCTTACTCAAAAGATTGTAAGTTCATTGAGGGCAGGGACTGTATCTTGTTTATCCTTTAGCTTTGCACAATATAAATTCACAATATTTGTTAAATAAATAACTCATATTTTAATTTTTTGTGATTACTATTCTGGTATTAAAAGTAACAGTTCCTAAAGTTGAACTACACCAGTATACAATTTTAAATGAACACATAAGGCCCTTAAAAACAAAAACAAAAACAAAAACCAAGAAAACATTTACTTCCTGCATCAAGTACTAAGTTTTTCTAGCCATTTTGTTTTGGGGTGGTGAGCAGAGATGGTAAATCCCTGAATGCAGAATGTTTATAGACTTCCCTTTGCTCATTAATAACGTGACTTTACTGGCACTAAGCACTTGGAAAGTACACATTCCTTTCTCTCTCTCTTTTTTTTTTAGTTCTTCTACTTTACCCATCAAACCAAATCTATGTGTATCATTAGATCCTTTGCAAAAATTTTAGTTACATATTTTAGAACTCATACACTGCTACGAATTAGTTAGAAAGAGCAAATTTAATGTTGAGGTGCATGCCATATGTTCTTAACAAAAATCAATGCTACTTGACTTTAATGTGTAGTGTAAGTACAGCTAAGAGGCGCTTTGATAAAGTTCAAGCTACTAAAATGTTGCACATATTACAACATGGGTAGCCCCTGACTTGATTACTTCTTCCCAGTTAAAAGGTATAATGTAGTACAGTGCACCCTTGGTTTCCATTCTAATACAGGAAAGAACTCTTATGCAGAGAACTGCTCACTTTCCCACTCTGAATGTCTCCCTTGGCCCCGCTCCCAAGTGCCCACCCTCCATCCGGACGGGGGAGCCACAACAGCCAGGTTTCTCAGGCTCTCTGCCTCTCCGTCCCTCACCTTCTCAGTCTTACTTCGTCCCCAACCCCTCATACTCTCCCCACATCCCATCCCAGAATTTTTTGGCTTTGTTCAAGCATTTAAAGATTGAATTAAGAACATGAGGTTCCACTCCTACAACTCAATAGCCAAAAAAAATAAGTCACCTGATTAGAAATTGGGCAAGGGATCTGAATAGACATTTCTCACAGAAGACATACAAATGGCCAACTGGTATATGAAATCACCAGGGAAATGTAAATCAAAACTACAATGAGATTTAACCTCACACCTGTTAGGATGACTATTATATTATCAAAAAACAAAGGACAACAAGTGTTAGCAAGGATATGGAGAAAAGAACCCTTGTGCACTGCTGGTGGAAATGAAAATTATTGCAGCCACTACAGAAACGATATTGAGATTTCTCACAAAAAATTAAAAATAGAATTACCATTCGATCCAGCAGTCCCAATTCTGAGTATATATCCAAAGGAATTGAAATCTGGGTCTTGAAGAGACATCTGCAGTCCCATGTTCATTGCAGCATTATTCGCAATAGCCAAGACATAGAAACAATCTAAATATTGAGCAATGGACTAATGAGTAAAGAAAATGTGGTATATACATACAATGGAATATTATTCAGCCTTTAAAAAGAAGGGAATTCTGCCATTTGCACCAATAGGGATGGACCTGGAGGATGTTAAGCTAAGTGAACTAAGTCACACACAGAAAGATATACACAATCTCACTTACATGTGGGATCTAAAAGTCGTCAAACTCATAAAAGCAGAGAGTAGAGTTTGGTCCCAGGGGCTGCCAGGGGCTGGGGGTGGGAGAAACAGGGAGGTGTTGGTCAAAGGGTACAAAGTTGCAGTTATGTAAGATGAATAAGTTCCGGAGACCTACTGTGGAACTGAGAGCCTATGATTAACAATACTGCATTGTATATTTAAAAATTCGCTATGAGGATAGATCTTATATTAAGTGCTCTTACCACAAAAGAAAAACAAAACAACAACAACAAAAAAGAACATGAAGTTCCATTATTTCACTGTGTGAGGCCAACAAGTCTGTAGTTTTGTCACATGAATGATCATGGAACCAAGATAACTTCAGAGAGCTTGACAATAGCCATTTTCATTAAAAGTGTAATGTATGCAGCCCGCATCTCTAGTGCTGCTCCATTACAGAGCACTGTTCTTTGTCAGTAACTCTCAGTTCCATGACATTAATATGAGAAAGGCTGAGGAAAATTCTCAAGACTGGTCAAAATACTTGTGGTCTAATGGCATTTTTTATTTAACCTTATTATATAAAGTTACAAGAGGAGTAAGAACGGAAATTCTACCAAAGGCTATGGGGAAAAGCTTAACCTAACATGCTTTTCTAGGTACAAACTGAAATTACTAGACTGGGCTTGAATGTTAAGATGCAATTATATTACATCTAAATGTAATTAGGAATGCATTTTTTAAAATCTGATATTGAAACACAGAATCCTAGACTTAGAAAGAACTCTGGGACCCAGAAAGACTAACCTCCTTCCCACTGCAGGAATCCTTCAGCATTGAAGACAGACACGGTTATTCAGCCTTCGAAAATCTTATGAGATAAAAGACTCTGTGTTTTTGTGCAAAAAAATGAAAATGGACCACCTACTTACACCATATACAAGAACAAATTCAAAATGGATTAAAGACTTAAATGTAAGACCTGAAACCATAAAAATCCTAGAAGAAAAAATTGGTAGTAAATTTGCAGACATCACCCTCAGTAATATTTTTACTGANGTTCGGATCCCACATATGAGGGCCAGTGACACTGCCCTCTACAGCTAAGATGCTGAACAACAGTTCAACCTGGAGCTGGGCTGCCGTGAGTCGCCAGCGACAGCGTAGGCTGCAGCCCGTGCTGAAGTGGGTTGCCGTAAGCTACCGTGTGTGGCCAGCAGCCAGCGTGAGCGGCCAGCAGCTGCCGTGAGTGGCTGTCCAGAAGCTGGCTACTGATCTGCCTCGCCTGGGAAGAGCGCAATGATGGTGCCAACTTGGGCCAGTGAAGCAATGTTCTCCACAACTAGACTAAAGAACAAAAGGACAGCAACTTGTCAGTTCCCCTTCCCCCAATTCCCCAGCACTGTTCCCATCCCCCAATTCCCCAATAAAAATCTTTTAAATAAATAAATAAATGAAATGAAACTATAAATGCATCATTGGAAAATGTGGGAAAATTCCTTTATAACCTCAGGGTGAGGAACGCATTTCTATGAGTCAAAACCCAGAAGCCACAAAGGAGAGTACTGACAAATTCAACAACATGGAGATGTAAAATATCTGCATTGCAAAAATCCACAAGCAAGGTCAAACAGCAAACCATTTAAAAATATTCACAATTCTTATAACAAAAGGCTAATCTCCCTAATATATAAGGAGTACCCTAACAAAATTGATGAGAAAAGGACCAACAACCCCAGTAGAAAAGTTAATGTGGTATATTCATATATAATATGTAATTCATAAAGAAGACAATACCACATGACTCATCTACATATCAAATTATGCCTAATATAATGTACAAAATGAAAATACATTCAGATACCATTCTCACACTACTGACAAATAGCCAAGCCGTGGGGAGTTAGGTACTTGCATACACTGCTGTTGGGAGCATAAATCTGTACAAACCCTAAGAACAATCTGGCAATATCTATCAAAATCACAAATGCATTCATTCCTCTAAGGCACAGTTAATCCTAGCATCACTAATGGTGGATTAAATAGATAACATAATGTCTTCCATTATGATGCAACTTGAAGCACACACTCTCACCTATGACATACTCTGGTCAAAATATGTAAATTGATCCGTAAGTCTGCAGCTATAATTTACCATTTAAAGGAAATATGGGGCCAGGGAAACAAGCAAATGGAAAAATCCAAATCCAGAAAGTGGGATATTCTGTAAGATAAATGGCCCAGGCTGTTGAACAAACACCTGGTTCTACAACCCCAGCACACAAAGACACCAGGAAAGAATGTAAAGTAAGTATATAAGTAACATCTTAAAAAGGAGGTTGGCAGGTGGAGGGGTGGGGGAATCTTGGCAAATCAGAGAGGCTTAAGGAACTTAATTTAATAATCTGATGCAATTCCTGGTCCAAGAGGAGATACTAGTTTGGACAAACCTACTGCAAAGAGTATCGTTGCACAACTGAGGAAATGTGAATGTGATTCAAATACTCAGAGGAAATGCAATTTACTGAAATGGAAAGGTGAAGGTTGCTGACTTTTTTAAAAAAGCCAGATTACAAAACAATAGTTACAGTAGGATGTCATATCTATGTGTGTATCTCTCTACCTATCTATGTAAAGACATCCAGAAAGATACACACGTAATCTCTGGTGGGAGGAATGTTGTGTCTTTAAGTTTTTATCTCACTTTCACTTGCGACACTTTCCAGTTTTCTATAATGCACTACTTTCTATAATAACAAGATACTTATGTTGATATTATTTGCAAAAGCAAAAGTTAGAAGCAGTCTAAATGTCCATCAATAGGGGCTGCTTAAGTAAATCATAGTAAATGATTTTACCTATGAAATTTACCTTAAATAAATCTATGCAGTAGAGCACTAGGCAGCTTAAAAAATAATGTGACAGCTCTATAAACTGGTCTGGATACATCTTCAAGATATAGAACTGTGTGTATGGAATGCTATTACTTGTGTAAAAGCAGAGGGGGATGAGGATATTTATGTGTGCCTGTATATCTATAAAAAAGTTCTAGAAGAAATAAATAATGGTTACCAGACAAATGGATAGGAGGCAGATTTTTCACTGTCTACATTTTTCTAGGAGGTGGGGGAGGGTGGAACCAGTTGAATGTATTGTCTTTTCCCAAAAATTCTTTTAATGAGAGTTGGTTATATTTTTAACTATTCCTACTCCTATTGAAGAGCAGAGCACACGCCCATCCCAGCTTCAGCCTGGAAGACCCCAGGAACAAGGTGTCCTGCGTGCTAGCTTACTGATTGATCTTCCTCTTCTGCTGTGACTTAATCACTGTGCTTTCTTCGTCTCTCTTCTTCAGCACCTGGTAGTTGTACTCTAACTTCTCTTGGTTTAGCTGATAAGTTGCTTTCATTTGCTGAAGCTGTTGCTCAAGAACCTAAAGTTAAAGTTTAAAAACATATAATATTAATTGGTCTTGGTATGATGGGGTATACCCAAGCATCCCCGGTAGTTCATTCTGGAGTCCTATCGGAGGAACCAGAGGCCAAGTGCGCCACCTGAATCCTTAGAAAATCTATCATTAGAAGCAAGTTAAAGGACAACCAGAAAAAAACATATAAATCATTCAACCGCAAGCTAAAGCCTACATACGTATCTGAAACCTAAGAGATTATAGTCAGCACTTTCAAGTCCAGCTCCCCCTGGTAATCTGTCCCAGACCCTTTAGAGCAGCGGTTCTCAACCTTCCTAATGCCGCGACCCCTTAATACAGTTCCTCATGTTGTGGTGACCCCCAACCATAAAATGATTTTCGCTGCTACTCTATAACTGTCATTTTGCTACTGTTATGAATCATAATGTAAATATCTTTTTGTTTTCCGATGGTCTTAGGCGACCCCTGTGAAAGGGTCGTTCNAGTTTACCTGTTTATTGTCTAGCTGTCTCCTACTAGAATACAGGCTTCATCAAAGATTTTGTTTTGTTCATGGCTATATTCCCAGCCCTTGATACAATGCCCGGCACATAGTAGACACTTGATGAATATTTGTCGAACGAGTAAATAAATTCATGAAACCCCATTGCAGAGACAGAAATCAGAGGACCAAGATATCTGGGACCCTCCTTAGATGGTTAGGACAGACCCAGCTCTCCTCCCAGGGGGCCTCCCAGGGTAGAAGGCAGGCCTTTCACACCCTCTTACCTCAATGTGATGGAGCTCCTGACGAAAGGTTTTCATTACATTCTTTACTTGTTCTTCCATCCTGTCCAGGAGCAGGCAGATGTCATCTGATTGTTTCTTCAAATCCTTCACATACTGGTCATCCTTTGTTTTTAACTCCTAGAAAAGAGCATGTTGAAGATTGGTCACACACTGAGACAGAAGCAAGAGGTGCGACGCACATCCACCTGGCCCCCTCTCATCAGCACCTGTGACCACTAGAAATTTTACAGCTGGACAAGGAGAAAGTGGCTACAGAAGGGTGTGGAAAGGCCCGGGAGAAAGCACGGGCAGATGGCACAGAGTGGGCTTAGCTCCGGGCACAGCTCTGAAGGAGCATCACCCGATCAAACGCTCAATCCCTATTTCCTGCAAATCTCCCTGCAAGCTCCCAGGAAGCCCTGGGTGTACCAGCTGAGCCAACTTCTATTCCTTACCTAAACACATAAAATCTGAAACAGCACTTGCTACAAAAAGTACCTCTTTCTCGTAGGAAGCCACTCACTCTAAAATTACTGCACAAAGACCTTTCTTTCTCCTGGTGAAAAGTTGATGCAGCATTCTGAGTCCTTTTCTTTTTTTTTTTTTTTTTGCTGAGCCATCCTGTCACCTGTTGGCAGCTCAGCTCGGGCCAGACTCGAACCACTGTTGCTCAGAGCTCAAACCTTTGAGCGAGCTCTTAACCAATTGAGCCACTCAGCCGGCCCTGCAGTCTGAGTCCTGACGTAAGGCCTCCACATTTTTCCTTTCAGGAAAAGCAAACCAATAACCAGCCCAGTTAAATGCCCCCAGCCAGATCCCACTTGGCAGGGACCGAGTGGCCCAAGCCTCTTGCCTGCTGTAGCTCGCTGATCAGCTTGTTCTTGTCTTCTATCAGCCCAGCGCAGTGCACCTGCTGGGTGTTGAGCATTTCCCACAGCTCCTGGGGGATCGTCTTCTGTTTGCCCTCCTCCCACTTGGCGCTGATTTCATCAAATTTGTCCTGGCTGGTCTTGACTTCGTTCTCCAGCTTTTCAAGCCTGCAAATACAAACATTCCGGCCATGCCAGCCCAGCTGCGGATGCTGCCTTTCAACAGAGCAGGCAGGTCCCTCGGAGTCTATAATACAGGGCCCAGCTACCAAGCACTGCTCCAGGTATACCCACCCAAAACTGAACCAGGCTCTGAGAAATCTTCTTTTAGTTTAATGGTTGACTATAAGGACCTGAGACCAAATAAACAAAGTGACACATAACAAAAACAGATCGACAGTAAAGCTATACATTCATACACATACACATGCACACACACATACATATGGATCAAGAGTCCATTTGTCACATACTTCTGAATAAGATGGTGACACACAGCAGTTAAGTACTTGGTCACTGGAGTCACATAGCTTGTGTTCAAGTCCTGGCTTTGCTACTAACTCTCAACTTTAGGCAAGGTGCTTAACCTCAGCAAGCCCTATTGCTCTCATCCATAAAATGCAGTGTCTACCTTCATGTGGCTGTTGTCAGTTGTCAGGATTAAACAAGATGATGCTCAGCACAGTAGTTACGTAACAAATGGTGCTCATATGATTGTCATTATCAGCATGACCGCAAGTGACCACTCCGCTCCCAAAGTATCAGTAAACGACCAGTGGAATGTACAAATAGGGAAATTCCACCATTAGCAATGGGAAATCGGGATGGTCTTTCCAGAAATTCCGAAGAAACTGTGTGATGGAGTATTTTGAGGATGGGCCCTGATTCAAGGAAGATCTTAGGGCTGAGCTGTGAGGCCCCTTCTGAGAACAGGGGGTAGGGCATATGCCAGAGACTCCGTCCCTACCCTCACAGACTGTCTTTCTATGAGATTGTCCCCAAACAAGAGTGCAAACCCCCCCTGAGGACAGGAGTCACAACTAATCTTGTGATCCCCTTTCACCTCCCCACCTTCCAAGAAAGGACACTTAGTACATATTAGAATTCAGTTGACTTGTTTCTTCAAAAAATGAGAAATAGTCATCAGGCCATCTTTCTAAAACCTACCTTTATCTTCTAACTCTGCCACTTACACCCTTCAATTTTTCTTCAATGGCTACAGGACGAAGCCTAACTCCTTGACATGGCACTCAGGCCCTGACACAAACTGGCCCTGCTGTGGCCCAATTCAATCTGATACAGCCCAAGACAGTCAGTGGGAAGTTTCAAGAATAAAGTCACGAATTGCATATGGGTAAAGGTGGTAAAGTTGCCAATGGGGTAACTACTTAAGCTGAACAACTAAAAATATTGTTGTTAAAATCGTACTGTGTATGTATATGCTGAGATGGGCTAAAAAATGGTCAACTGGGTTGCTTTTCTAATTGATCTATATAAGATATTGCTGGGCAACCTGAGACCCGGGAATATGGGTNAGAGATATAGAGGAACAACTGATGGCTGTTAGTTGGGAGGGGGTGGGGATGAGGGAGAAGGGGAAGGGGTTAGACAGCATAAATACATAACTACAATATTGCCACAGGGACATGAAAGACAGTTCGAGGAATATAATTAATAATGTTGTAAATATTTTGTAGGGTGTCAGGTGGTCACATGTCTTGCTAGGGAGACCGCATGATGGATGGGGAAGAGGCTTGATCACTGCACTGTACACCTGAAGCTGATGTTGTATAATATTCTATGTCAACTATAAGTGAATATATATATGGTCAAGGGACGTGGAGTATAGTGTGGGAGTGGAGTCAAGGGTGTTGTAATAGATATGTATGATATTGGGGGGAAGTGGGGCGGCAGATTGGGGGAGGGGGGTTGTCATTTCGAGGGGTAAAAAGTATAACTATTGCACTGTGTTGTACAGCTGAAACTAATTGTAAAAAATGTGTATTTCATAATAAAAAATAATTAAAAGAAGAAAAAAAAAGACTCTGTGTTTTGAGAGATGACCCTTTTCTATATTACATAGTTCCAACTATTAGAAAGTTCTTCCTGATGGTGAGTCAGAATCTGCCCTACAGCAATGTCCACCATGAGTAAGGGGGCTGTTTGGAATAATGGGAAAGATACAGGCTCTAGAGCCAGACAGAACTGGGTTTGAATCCAGGGTTTACCATTTACTAGATATGTAGCCTTGTCTCTGAGTCTCAGTTTGCTAGCATATAAAATGCTATTAGCAAAAACAATGCTGAATATTTTCATATTACTTGAAAATTATGTGCTACACATCTTTTATATCAGTAGAATTTACAATAAATTATATAAATTTATTACATACTAAAGGTGAAGGGATTAAGCCAGAAAAGGTGAAGGGATTAAGAAGTACAAATTGGCAGTTACAAATTAGTCACAGAGATGTACAGTATAGGGAATATAGTCAATAATACTGTAATAACTATGTATGGTGGCAGATAGGTACTAGTCATACCAGGGGATCACTTCATAAATTATACAAATGTCTACCCACTAGGCTGTATACCTAAAACTAATATAATAGTGAATGTCAACTGTAATTGAAAAATTTTAAAATATATTTTTTTAAATGTTTAACCTTCAAAAAAAAAATAAAAGTTGTTAGTAATTTCTCCCTTTCACGTTAGTGTGAGGATTAGAGATACTGAGCATTAAGTGCCTGGAATACGGTAGACACTCATCAGATGGTGGCTGTCCTGGCTCTGGCCCTCTAATTTGCCCTGGGGACATTTTCCCTTTGCTCAGCTAAAATGCACAATGCTCTCAGCGATTCCTCGCATGTCACAGTTTCCAGATTCCTTCTGGCATCTTGGCAGTTCTCCACCAGTGTTTTAAAAAAACAGCATTTTTCCATGTGTGTCTTGTACGTGAGCTCCTTCAGATATGGTCATTTCAAAGCAAGCAGCGCATTAATAAATATTGGTGGAGTGGACCAACTCTAGAATGTTATCAGCAGGCGCTGCGACGAAACATCTGGCTGCTCTCCGTCTGCTCTGCCACCCTTCTGCTCCAGCTGACAGACTGGACAGCTGACGTACCTGCACATCCTGCTCCAGCTTGATCTTAATCAAGTTGTACTCTTCGCAATCCCATATCCCCTGCTTGTTGAGCTGCTTCTCATAGTCCTCTGCTTTCTTGATGCGGTTCATAAGATACTCCAACTGAAGGCAGAAGAAGATGAGGGGGAAAGTCAGGCCCTGTCCCTGCCCTGACTCGCGCCTTCGGGTGGCCTGACGAGAGTGACACAGTGGAGGGACTGCAAGTGTCATGACTCTGGGAGGAGTCTCTCAGACCTCAAAAGCCCCTACGATCCAAGGCTTTGTGTTGCTTACTGGGGCCCACCCTCCAGAAACTCCAAGAGGAATGCTCCATTAAGAAATTAAGCACAGGGAGGTGTAACGTACAGCATGGGGAATGTAGTCAGCAAAACTGTAATAACTATGGATGGTGTCAGGTGGGTANACCCCCAAAGGGGTCGCCACCCACAGGTTGAGAACCGCTGCTTTAGAGATATAAGTCACCCTGCTAGAAATGCCGTAAAAGTTAATATTGCCACAAGAACTAGCAGTGCTCCCACTCTGACCTTCTGGCTGGCAGTGTTAGTATTTAGCAAACCATGTTCATTTTAAAGGAGGAGAGGCACAACCATCCTTATGTTTTGGATTCCCATTAGTTGTATTCATTCAGCAAATACGGAGTGCTTAACATGAGTCAGACACTTTACTGGGTGCTGCTGGGAAAACACTGGTGATAAAGGCACAGTCCTGCCCTATTTAGGAGAGGGACAGTTAAAGTGCTGGTGATAAGAACTAAGGTGGTGGGTGGGGGGATAAGCACAGGGTGATATGGGGCCAATGACAGGAGCTCTTCCATGGCCAGGGCTGGGATCCCTGAAAAGATGGCATCAGTGTGCCTGAGACCTGGAGAATGGGTAGGAGTTACTTGGGTGGTCACCTGAGAGGAAAGAAGTCTAGAGAGATGTGCTCTGGGTAAACCCCGAACAGTTTAAGTTGTGAGGCATGAGGCAGGGGATGGTTGGACATGAGGCTAACGGAGCCCCAGGGCCTGGCCAAGCCAGGAATTTAACACTTTATCCTGAAGGCAATGGAGGGCCACTGGAGATGTTAAGCAAGACAGTAGAATGATCAGTCTAGGTAGTGTACAAAGATCACTCTGACGCTGGTGACAAAAAGATTACAGGGGGCAAAAATTTCCTGAGTGTAAATGCAGGAAGGAGGGTGCAATTAAGTGTAATGGGATCTTGATAGAGACATGTGACATGCTCTTTTAAGCCTCCTTCCCATGTCCCCCCAGACGAGGCTACAGACCTTTGCAGAGGAATCAACAGAGGAAGTGATTCCAGGGAACTATCACGACCCACCCTGGAGTCATCCTCAAGGAGGGTAACTGGCGAGGAGGTGAGTAAAGGAGAATAAAGGCACTGACACATTATCAGAGGGTGAGTCATTTCTATGTTCCGTGTGGAATCCAGTGACTCCCCACATTGTAACAAAGGGAATCAGTGATGAGTGTCCTACGATATCTATTCTTTAACAGCTGGTCAATAAAGAACCATATTGGTCACTGGGATGACTAGGTGTACCTCTCAATTTCTCTACTTGTTTAGTCAAATTTTTAATTACTTTTTCTAGTTATCTACTTTTCTTTGTGAAAACTTTTCCTGATTGTGAAAGTAATATTTGCTCATTGTAAATATGTAGAAAGTACAGTAAAAGGAAAGAAGACAGAGAAGGGGGAGGAAACACTACCCATAATTCTACCATCCAAAGGCAACTTCTGTTAACATATTGGCATGTTTTCTTCCAGTGTTTTTTACATGGCTGAGATCAAATCTTACCTACAGTTTTATAACCAACTTTTCTTCCCTAGCATTACAACATGTTAATTTTCCATGTTAGTAAAGTTTTGGTAACATAATTGTAACGGTACAAAATATTTTTATATAATAATTTATCATGTATGAAATATACATGCTATGTTCATCATATATCATATTTTACTATTTCCTCACAGTTGTACATTTATATTGTGCTGATAATTTTCAATATTATAAAACAATGCTGGGAACAATTATATATAAAACTTTTGGGGTGTTTTGTTTCTTTCCTTAAGGCAGATTCACAGAAGTGAAATTACTAGGTCAAAGTCTCTCAATAAATTGCTTTGCAAAGAGCAATTTATAGTTTACAGTCCCACTGGCCATGTGTGCAAGTGCCCCCTTCACCACACCCTGCCAGTCCTGAGCATTGCACAGGTCAGGTCAGGCCAGGAAGTCCTAGTGCAGGCCCAGCCCTTGGGCGGGATGCTTGGGGTGGGGCAGAGAGCTGCTGGGAGCTGCACCCAGCTTTTCCTGAGCATGATTAAAATTTAATTTCGAAATTTCTGACATGAACAACATCCCAAAGGGCCTATGGAAGATGCTGACAGTATAGCCTCATTTTAAGTGCAATTATCCTGGCTGGTCCCAGGCTGAGTAGCTTTCAGCCCTGTACCCCTCTAGGATGGCCAAAGGTCTACTAGGGAAAGGGGCTCTCAGCAGCTCTTCCTGTCAAGTCGCAACGATTTCTGTCCCCATGCTCCAAATGAAACCAGCCTGACTGATCCTAATGTAACCAGCCCTGGACATTGAGGAGGTCGTTGGTCTATGTGAAGTGGCACAGCACAAAGTCCAATAAAAAAGCTCCATGTTGGATGGTGACAATCTGAGGATGTATGGACACTCACAGAGACGGAGGGTCTCCAGAGCTGCTCGGATTTGGAAGGACAATGAATGGCTGTTCCAGTTTTCCTGGGGACGATCATCCAGAGCCCTGAGACCCAGAGTGCTGGGATGTCTGCTCTGATGACGTCCAGGGACCTCCTCCTTCTCATAGCTTTGCAATAAACCCCTGTCACTATGATGGCATTTCCCAAATGTACTTGACCATAGAACAGTTTTCATATTTATAACACAGCAAGAGCATGTGCGTTCAACTTCTATCGTGTGAACTTTCATGTCAATTTCACTCTTTGAGGCAGATTATTACATAATAATAACTATGTAAATGGACTCTATTTTTCCTACATAATACATCTTGAAAGGAAAAAATATCACTGGCATCACTTTTTTTCTTAGTTTCGTGAAACTACCACTAGTACCTCACCTAGCTGAACGCAATTTACAAAACTCTGAACTAACTAATTAGGTCCTGTGATGATTTCCTAGGCAAAAAACAATTATAGCCTGTCACCTGATTGTTTTAATTTACATTCCTTCTCTTCTGCGTGCAGTTGAATACTAGCGATTTATTTTCTTCTTCTTGTGGAAAATGCTGTTTCTTCTTCTTCCCTAGAGTACTCGTATGTTCTTAGAGGACTGACAGCTGGAGGCATCAGCGATGCAACCTGCACCACAGGCTTCCCTTCACCAGATCATAGACCAGCCACTCCTTCCTCTCAACTCTGTCTCAAGACAACCTCTGGGGCTTCAGTTCTTGGCGGTGCTGTTGGCTGAACTTATAGAACTAATAATAGTCTTGTGCCTCTTACAGTACAGAGGCTACAGCAGGCAATCACATGAATTACACTACTCATTATTTGTTTGCAACACTTATGCTTCCCATAATTTTAGTAATGGTGACACAATTGTTAATTATCTCAGGTTTTGATCTCAATATATAGCCACCGTTCTTGATGGTCATACAATGAATACAGTTTTATATTTTTAAATTGTAATTGATTTTGTAAAATGTCTCTGCTTATTATTCAATCATCCAAAGATATTTTGCAAATCTATACTTTATGTTCTGAAGACTAATGGCAAAACATCATGTTTGGTTTTCGTGAATAATTTATAAAGATTACAGTCTTACCTACCATGAAGCCCCTCAGTGTTACAGGTATGGCAGGGGTTGACGAACCCGTCCCTCCCTTACCTGGGACAAGCATGAGCTTCTCCACAGCTCCTTGGGAATGCCATCTCCTGCCCACAGGCTCAGAAAACCTGCTGCCATCAATGCCCCAGCAGAATGGGGACTTAAAATCGCCTTTCCTTCTGGCCTTCTCGACTGACTCGAGAGATCCCATGGCCTCTTCATCACCAATCTCAATCCTGGGATGGGACCTGGACTCCATTTTGGAACCACAGACTGACAATTTCATACCCAGCACACGTTNAAAAAAAAAGAATAGTAGCCCTTAACTGAGTTTAAAATATTTTCCCCCAGCTGTCATCTGTATCTTAACTTTGTTTATAATGATTTTTGCCCTACAGAATTTTTTTAAATATAGTCAAACATATCTGTTGGTGCTTTTTTTTCTTTTATGTCTTCTGGGTTTTGTCTACATAACAAACTTTTCCAGAAGCATATCAGGATACTTACCCTGGGCCTAGCAATACTAAAGACATCTATTAAATTAAAATTTTTAATTTTTTAATTAAAACCTTATATTTTTAACATGATGACTTCTTCAGAATAGTCTATTACAACCAAGATAAGTATTACAAATGGGCCCTGCTTTGTAGGAAAGTGTCACAGATCAAATATTCAGAACTTGGTGGGTCCAGGTCTCAGAGTGGCTGAGGCCTGGCTTTGAGGGAAGGCCCAGAAAGGATCCTTTGGACCTCAGTATGAGCATAGTCTCTCATCCCCATTCATTCTGTCCTTTGCAAATAGAAAAAGTAATAATAATAAAGGAAATGTTCACTTAGCTATCCCTGCCATAAAACCCTCACTGTTTTACCAGAAATATTATTCAGAGGCAGCAATGCTCCCAGGGGTTTCCAGGATTTAAAATACTCTCTTTTCTATTGCACTTCACCTTACCTGGCTGGAGGGCAAATGATTATGAGCTCGGTATTTGAGGAAGAAGTTCACCAGTTTATACAAGTCGTCCTCACTTTCAATTCCAAGGGCCTGGACAAAAAACAGAATTGACATTGAAACACCACATCAAGAAGAGTCCACTGGCTCCAGAAGTTAACAGATCCTCAGCTCCCGAGAGCAAGAGGCTTGTCTTGCTCCCTTCAGCATCCCTGGCACCTGCCATGGCCCCAGAGCAGAGGGCANAAACTGTTAAATAAAATATGTTCTGTCCTCTTACCTTGACACCTTGGTAACAACTGAGAAGCCCTGGTTTGAATTCAGACTGTATCTCAGAGTGAACTCTGAGGTGGTGCCAGTCTCTAGCCTCCAGCCCACAGCCCACCCCATTCCCTTTCCATCCCCACCTTTGTCCTACACCATGAAGGGCTTCACATGCAGGTGTATGGATTTCCCAGACTGCAAACCCAAGCTCCATCTACACCCCTTGGCTATCCATCAGGCCCAGAGGTTGCTCAACTGTGGCCTCACATGCCCTGAACAGGACAGGCCCTAGGAAGAGGCCCATGCAGGCCTTGAAAGTGTGCTCAGAACCCTTTGAGCTGGGAATTTGGGGTTCTGTGGTACACAGAGAGTGACCTAAAGGGGAAACTTAGGCTCTGAGTGAACTTGAGGCAAGTCCATTTGGGGGGGGGGCTGCATCCGGAGGAAAGCCAGAGCAAGACACAGGACCCTCATCACCACTTCTATTTAACTGGAGGCCTATCTGGTGCAATAAGGCAAGAAAAATAAATAAAAGGTGTAACTATTGAACAGGATGAGATAAAACTGTCATTTTCAGGTGATATGATTATATATGTAAAAAAAAAATAAACCTACAGGCAAACTATTAGAATTAAAACGTGAACTTGAAAAGATTGTTGGATATCAAGTCACTACATAAAAATAATTGTAATTTTACATATCAGCAGTGAACAATTATAACCTCAATAAAAAGTATAAAACATTGCTGAGCAAAATTAAAGAATATCTAAATAAACGTAAGAATATTTTCCACTCATGGGTTGTAGATCTCTATATTAGTAAGGTATTAGTTCTTTCCCAAATTGATCTACAAATTCAACCCAATTTCAATGAAAATCCAGGCAGGTTTTTTTGGTGAAAATTGACACGCTGATTCTAAAATGTATATGTCAATGCAAAGCATCAAGCATAGCCAACACAATCTTAAAGACCAACAAAGTTGGAGGACCTCCCCTACCAGATATCAAGCCCTGTCATAAAGCTACAGGTATTTAAAAAGTGTGCAACTGGCATAAAGACAGACAAGTAGACAAGAACAGAGAATCTAGAAACAAACACACATACATGATCACCTGATTCGCAACAAAGGTACACTGCAATTCTGTGGAGAAAGGGTGACCTTTTCAATAAATGGTGCTGGGTCAATAAAAAGGCATATGGATTTTTTTTCATTGCAAGTTTTTATTTATTCAACAAATGTTAAGTGCCTACTACATGCTAGGCACTGCCCTAAATGTCATCCTAAATATAAAATATTGAAAAGTCCTGGCTAGTTTTTTTCTCCTCAGTACTTACCATTGTCTAACATACTAATGTTTCATTTTCTGTTTCCCTTCTATTTTCCTTCTTTTCTGTAAGCTTGTTTTGTTAATGGTTCTATCACTGGGGCCTAGAACAGTGCAAGACACTCAATAACATTAATATTTTCTGAATGACTGAATACATGCTCTTTCAGCCCTGGTCACTTTGACTTATTTATTGGCTTACCTGGTAATGGGAATTTGGCTGAAATTGCCTGATACAATCAGCTCAGGTGGATCAGAAACATTCCATTTCTTTTAAGCCCTGTTATTTCAATCAAGTGGTTTGGGAGCAGGTAACACCAGTGCCACCTTGTCTGGGGTGTGGGTAGTGACTGTCAAGGGGCTAGGGCAGGGCTGACAGTAAAGACTGAAGGTTGGGGGAGTGGAGGTTCTGAAGCTAGAAAGGCCACCAAGAGGCTGTAGAAAGTCACAGAACAGGTGGGAGTCCACACACTTCAGGTAGGCTGCTGGGAAGAAATTGGAGCAGCTCCAAGAACTCAGATATTGTGGGCTCAGTTCCAGACCATCCCAATAAAGCGGGTCGTAATAATCTTTTTGGTGGTGGAGGGTCTTGCCTTCAATATGTGAAAAATGCAACCTCTTTTCTGCCTTCACAAAACTGATTTTATAACTTCTATTTGCCTTAGAGGCTGCCTCAGTCTTCATTTCCACTTCATTTTCCCTGGATGGCATACTGGAAGCAGGGAGTAGGGCAAAGAGAAAGACATGAAGGACCTTGATGGCCGAAAAACCAGGAGGTAGGTTCTCAACCACCATGGTGCCACCTTCCCGAACCACAGAGTGTTGGGGGAAACTGGAAGGCCAAATTTCTGCACGTCACCGTGTCTCGGGGTGCCTCTTCTATGGATTTTTGAAAACCTTGAGCCCTACCTTTATAAAAATCAATTCCAGATAGATTATAGGCCAAAATGTAAACAGTAGAGCCATTCCAGATAGATTACCAACCAAAATGTAAACAGTGGAACAACTCCAGATGGATTATAGACCAAAATGTAAACAGTAGAACAGTTTTATTCTTCCAGTAAAAGAAAACATGGAAGAATAGCGTCATAAACTTGGAGTAGATGAAGATTAAACAGGAAACAAAAAGAATTATCTTTAAAAATGATTAATAAGGTGCAATGCCAAGGGCAGGGGCCCCTCCTGCCCAGGTCTTAGGGCAGAACTGGTTATTAACACCTTGATATTGAGGAAGGTAACATTTTTTGTATACATTTCTTCTTGATGCCAATGCGTTTCATGACTTCAGTTTCTAAGTGAAAGGAACCTTGAAAAGCTCCTTTCATCCTTTTGGTTTTACACTCAATTAAAGAGTGCTCAGGATGAACTGTATATCAGCATTTTCAAGATTATATCAATATAAACTATAACAGCATTTTCAAGATTACATATAATGTCCTTTTTATCCTACACAGAAATGCTCAGAGATCAATGACCCTTTAGATGAAGAAACCCAGGTACAAAGAGGTGACATGACTCATGTAATTCACAGTAAGCAACAGATCTGGACTGAGAACCCACAGCAGCTCAATATTCGTTCCACTAATGAAATATCTTATCCTTGACACAGTGCAGTACTGGTTATTCAATTGTCTCTATGTATCTCTATGCTCTATAATATTTCACAGTAGCTTATTTTTTCTCCCAGTATGTATATTTCAATTTCTGCCAGAAATGATCTCTCTCCTCTCCACTTTTATAAATCCCACCTATTTTTCTAGCTCAAACCCCCCTTTCTCCATATAACCTTCCCTGATCAAACCAGCTTAGTGAGAAATTTTGCGTATCTCAATTCCGACGGCATCACTGTCTATGCAGTTCATGTCACAATTAATTAAATGCAGCACTTTGCCAGGTATGGCTTGCTGTTTTGAATTGGTGTTTTTAATCCCTCCAACACCTCTTGTTCCAAGTCCTTTATGAAATATCCCAGGAGCCCCGTCATTGCCACGGGAGAGCGATCGATTTTCTTTTTAGTGTTTATTAAGTGATGCACTGCTCCACAGGCACACAATGAGGATCTCACTCTCACAGAGCCTACAGTTTCATTGGGGAGAGTGTATGCCACACAGTGAAATAGTCATACAAGGCANTACAGGTATTTAAAAAGTGTGCAACTGGCATAAAGACAGACAAGTAGACAAGAACAGAGAATCTAGAAACAAACACACATACATGATCACCTGATTCGCAACAAAGGTACACTGCAATTCTGTGGAGAAAGGGTGACCTTTTCAATAAATGGTGCTGGGTCAATAAAAAGGCATATGGATTTTTTTTCATTGCAAGTTTTTATTTATTCAACAAATGTTAAGTGCCTACTACATGCTAGGCACTGCCCTAAATGTCATCCTAAATATAAAATATTGAAAAGTCCTGGCTAGTTTTTTTCTCCTCAGTACTTACCATTGTCTAACATACTAATGTTTCATTTTCTGTTTCCCTTCTATTTTCCTTCTTTTCTGTAAGCTTGTTTTGTTAATGGTTCTATCACTGGGGCCTAGAACAGTGCAAGACACTCAATAACATTAATATTTTCTGAATGACTGAATACATGATCTTTCAGCCCTGGTCACTTTGACTTATTTATTGGCTTACCTGGTAATGGGAATTTGGCTGAAATTGCCTGATACAATCAGCTCAGGTGGATCAGAAACATTCCATTTCTTTTAAGCCCTGTTATTTCAATCAAGTGGTTTGGGAGCAGGTAACACCAGTGCCACCTTGTCTGGGGTGTGGGTAGTGACTGTCAAGGGGCTAGGGCAGGGCTGACAGTAAAGACTGAAGGTTGGGGGAGTGGAGGTTCTGAAGCTAGAAAGGCCACCAAGAGGCTGTAGAAAGTCACAGAACAGGTGGGAGTCCACACACTTCAGGTAGGCTGCTGGGAAGAAATTGGAGCAGCTCCAAGAACTCAGATATTGTGGGCTCAGTTCCAGACCATCCCAATAAAGCGGGTCGTAATAATCTTTTTGGTGGTGGAGGGTCTTGCCTTCAATATGTGAAAAATGCAACCTCTTTTCTGCCTTCACAAAACTGATTTTATAACTTCTATTTGCCTTAGAGGCTGCCTCAGTCTTCATTTCCACTTCATTTTCCCTGGATGGCATACTGGAAGCAGGGAGTAGGGCAAAGAGAAAGACATGAAGGACCTTGATGGCCGAAAAACCAGGAGGTAGGTTCTCAACCACCATGGTGCCACCTTCCCGAACCACAGAGTGTTGGGGGAAACTGGAAGGCCAAATTTCTGCACGTCACCGTGTCTCGGGGTGCCTCTTCTATGGATTTTTGAAAACCTTGAGCCCTACCTTTATAAAAATCAATTCCAGATAGATTATAGGCCAAAATGTAAACAGTAGAGCCATTCCAGATAGATTACCAACCAAAATGTAAACAGTGGAACAACTCCAGATGGATTATAGACCAAAATGTAAACAGTAGAACAGTTTTATTCTTCCAGTAAAAGAAAACATGGAAGAATAGCGTCATAAACTTGGAGTAGATGAAGATTAAACAGGAAACAAAAAGAATTATCTTTAAAAATGATTAATAAGGTGCAATGCCAAGGGCAGGGGCCCCTCCTGCCCAGGTCTTAGGGCAGAACTGGTTATTAACACCTTGATATTGAGGAAGGTAACATTTTTTGTATACATTTCTTCTTGATGCCAATGCGTTTCATGACTTCAGTTTCTAAGTGAAAGGAACCTTGAAAAGCTCCTTTCATCCTTTTGGTTTTACACTCAATTAAAGAGTGCTCAGGATGAACTGTATATCAGCATTTTCAAGTTTATATCAATATAAACTATAACAGCATTTTCAAGATTACATATAATGTCCTTTTTATCCTACACAGAAAAGCTCAGAGATCAATGACCCTTTAGATGAAGAAACCCAGATACAAAGAGGTGACATGACTCATGTAATTCACAGTAAGCAACAGATCTGGACTGAGAACCCACAGCAGCTCAATATTCGTTCCACTACAGTGAAATATCTTATCCTTGACACAGTGCAGTACTGGTTATTCAATTGTCTCTATGTATCTCTATGCTCTATAATATTTCACAGTAGCTTGATTATTTTTTCTCCCAGTATGTACATTTCAATTTCTGCCAGAAATTATCTCTCTCCTCTCCACTTTTATAAATCCCACCTATTTTTCTAGCTCAAACCCCACTTTCTCCATATAACCTTCCCTGATCAAACCAGCTTAGTGAGAAATTTTGCGTATCTCAATTCCGACGGCATCACTGTCTATGCAGTTCATGTCACAATTAATTAAATGCAGCACTTTGCCAGGTATGGCTTGCTGTTTTGAATTGGTGTTTTTAATCCCTCCAACACCTCTTGTTCCAAGTCCTTTATGAAATATCCCAGGAGCCCCGTCATTGCCAAGGGAGAGCGATCGATTTTCTTTTTAGTGTTTATTAAGTGATGCACTGCTCCACAGGCACACAATGAGGATCTCACTCTCACAGAGCCTACAGTTTCATTGGGGAGAGTGTATGCCACACAGTGAAATAGTCATACAAGGCAGAAAACTATCCAAAATGAAATGAATTCCACAGACAAAAAGTGCTCAATGTTTGAATTAAAGAAGTTCAGCCTTGGCTGCAGAGGCACTCACAGAAGGGTTGGGACTTAGATGTTCTTAAAGTGTGGGAAGGTAACCTGATTACAGGTGAGGAGAAAAAGGAGGGGAGAGGAGGAAAGGAAAGGGAGGGGAGGAGCTTGGCATTCCAGAAGGTCAAAGGCACAAAGCAGGAAGAACCAAGCCCCAGGAGAGTAACTGGATGGGCTCAGCCAAAGTGGAAGGCCCAAATTAGGTAACAACGGGAGAGAAAATGAGAGACACAATGAGGACAGACTACAAAAGGCCTTGAATGTCAAGCTAAATCATTTGGACTTTATCCTATAAATAAATACCATTAAAAGTGTATGAAGGCCGGCCAAGTGGAGCGATGGTTAAGAACTGGCTTGGGACGCCAGAGGGCCCCGGTTCGGATCCCACATATGAGGGCCAGTGACACTGCCCTCCACAGCTAAGATGCTGAACAACAGCTCAACCTGGAGCTGGGCTGCCGTGAGTCGCCAGCAACGGTGTAGGCTGCAGCCCCTGCTGCAGTGGGTTGCAATGGGCTACCGTGTGTAGCCAGCAGCCAGCGTGAGCAGCCGTCCAGAAGCTGGAGACTGATCTGCCTCGCCCAGGAAGAGCGCAATGATGGTGCCAACTTGGGCCAGTGAAGCAACGTCCTCCACAACTAGACTGAAGAACAAAATGACAGCAATTTGTCTGTTCCCCTTCCCCCAATTCCCCAGCACTGTTCCCCTTTCCCCAATTCCCCAGTGCTGTTCCCATCCCCCCAATTCCCCAATAAAAAAATCTTTAAAAAAAAAAAGTGTATGAGCAAAGAAGAGACAGCATCATATAAGAAATTACAATATGAAAGCTCAGTCCTAGAGAACTCCCCAAATGGGAAAGATTCAAATTCAGTTCCGCCTAGGAACAGAAATAGAATCTCTATTGCGACTTCATCTCAACTGAGTTTCTTCCAGTCTAAATATGAAAATCATGACATCACACCCAGCCCTCTAGCCTCACAGGACTGACAAGACTCATTGGCTACCCAGTTCATACCAGTCTGCTTTCTTCTTTCTGTTTATAGCTCTTGCTTTGATCTTCCTCACTCTCTTTTTTTCCATCTAAATATTCTCCAAGCGCTTCCCTGTAGTGGAAAACAGTAGAGAAACTGAAGTTATTTCTAGTGCTTAAAATCCATATTTAAAGTTTCCACAGTACTTCATACCATATACAAAAATATACTCCACATGGTTAAAAATGTAAATATAAAAAAACACAATCATAAAACACTAGGAGAGAGAGAGAACACAGGAGAGAGCCCATCTTAGAATAAGACCAAAGTTAGAAAATAAAAAGATTGAAAGATGTTACTTTCTAAAATTTTTAAATTTTATCCTTGAAAGTCAAGGGATAAACTGGTTAAAAGATATTTGATAAAATTTTGCTCTCTATAAAATAGAAAGGGCTCCTTCAAATCAATACAGAAAAGACAAAATACCAAATAGAAAAATTGGCAAAGAATGTGAACAATTTACAGAAGAAATACAAATGGCAAATAGACATTTGAAAATATGTTCAACTTCACCTATAACCAGAAAAATGAAATTGAAAACACTGTGAGGTATCATTACTTTCCTAGCAGACTAGAAAAGATTTTAAAAGTTAATAATAACATTTTACTCACACTCACAGGGTCATGTTAATTCTTCTGATCTCTGTCAAAATATAGTCTGAATAGATCCGGACCATCTGGATATCTCACAGAATGTCACACTGATCAATCACATCAGGGTTAGCAAACTATATAGCCTGTGGGACAAATCTGACCCACCTGTTGTCGTATGGCCCACAAACAAAGAATGAGTTTTATATTTTTAAATGGTTTAAAAAAAATAAGATCAGGATGAACAGGCAGAGCACAGAGGATTTTTAGGGCAGCAAAACCATTCTGTACAATACTTTAATATAATAGTGGATACATGTCATTATATAGTTGTCAAAATCCATAGAACATCAAGAGTGAAACATAATGTGGACTTTGGGTGACAATGATGTGTCAGTGAGAGTCATCAGTTGTAACAGATGTACCACTCTGGTGGGATGTTGATAGTGGGGGAGGTTATGCATGTGTGTGTGTGGGGGGGTAGGAGGTACATGGGAAACCTCTGGCCTTTCCACTCGATTTTGCTGTAAACCTACCACGGCTCTAAAAAATGAAGTTTATTAATTCAGAGGGACAAAAGAATATTTTGTGACACATCAACATTACATGAAATTCACATTTCAGTGTTCATGAGTCAAGTTGTGTTGGACCTCAGCCACGCGACTTTGGGCCCGTTGTATCCCATGGCCAGCAGACGAGACGCCACCGTCTTGGTAGGGCAGCTGACCCTGACCAGCAGGACAAGGTGTAAGTGCTATTGCACAGCGAGGGCGTTCAGGAATTCAGGGCACCACGCAGGTGCCTCTCGGTACCCCCCTTATGACAGTCCACGGTGCCTGTGAATGGATGGTGCGGGACCCTGGTCTGAGAGGGTAAGGTTCTCGGTCTCAGACTCTTCACGAGCGAGGGCTTGTGTCACACAACCAGATAAGCCACTGAAACCAGAAAAGTAGTAGCTGAGGTCCACTGGATTAAAACTTGTGGCTGGAAGGCAGGCTGGGAGGAAGGACAGACAGACCTCTGAGGGCAGGCCAAGCATCGCCCGCATTTTAGTGTACTGCCCACAGTGCCTGGTGCAGGCGGGCAGTTAACACAAGCGCTGAAGACATTATTGTTTCCGTCTGTGACTTGACTAGTGCGTTAAATGTTTTAATATTTCGTACTTCGCTTGCACCTGTTTTCCACCTCATCAAGAAACAAGGCCCGCTCACACTTGGGGCACTCCGGCCCCTCACCGCAGGGGCTCCAGCCCCGGGCAAGCGCTCCCCTCAGCCCGCCCTGCCTCCGGGGCGCCCCAGGCGCTCCGCGGCGGGCCCGCCCACGCCCCGCTCACCGCCTCCGGGCTTCCAGGCGCGCCGCGATGCGGAGACGCCGGGCCTGGATCCGTTCCTGAGGGTTATCGGAACGGATCGAGGGCCGGAGAATCGAAGTGGCGAAGTGCTCCTCCTCTTTCTCCTCTAGGATCCCCAGGGGTCCGGACGGATTCATAGCGGTCTCCTCCCCAGGCAGCTCCGCCCGGACCACCGCCACCCCGCAGCCGGGTTGCTAACAACAAGCAGTTACCAGGGAAAAGCAGGCACCTGACCCGCAGCGGAAGTGATGGCGCGCGCAGTTCCTTAGGCCCCGCCTACCGGCTTTCAGAACGTGGTATCCCAGCTTTGGGCTTTATCTGCGGTTCGGATGTACTGCCTTGAGCCACCTCAAAGGCCCAGTCATATTAGCGGAGGCCGGAAGACTACAGAGCTGGATCAAGTTGTAGTTCATCGCTTTACAGATGATTAATTCATCGTTCACTCACTTATCAAACGAACATTCCTCAAAATCATATTCATTAAATATTATTGAGCACCGCTGTGCCAAGCGCTATGCTAAGAGGATGGGCGTTGTCCTTTCCTTATGGAGGGTACAGAATAATAGGTCCTCCCTGAGCCTATTGCCTCTTTGGAAAGTTTGAACTAAAGTATATTGTATCCATCTATTCATCATCCATTCATTTTTGAGGTCCTACTTTGTGCATGGAGCAGCTGTGTCCTCTAGAGTGTGAAACCCCCAGCTATCAATGAATGTTTACCCAGCAAGTGATTGTTGTCTTCTGTAGCCGTTTTCAGTAGGGCTAAAACCTAGGACAATCCTACTAGCATCACCACCTGCAATCACATACTTACAGAAAGAAGAAAGGGGGAGCACAGGGAAACAGTACGGGGTGAAGGAGTAAAAGGGTACAGAAACACAAACTCTCAAGGAAGCACTGTCCCTTGAAAAAGCACTATTTCCTGGGCATTTTTTTGTGTGTCTCATTGTCAACAAAAACAGTGTTCCTACTGAGAATTAAAACCCTTTAAAAAAAAAACAAAAAACTGGACAATATTTGACAAGGTCTTGTTCCATTGACCTGCGGGAAACACGGCAAAGGGCACTGGAGTAATGAGAAAGTGCAGGTCCTAGTCCTAGATCTGCTCTGCAGCCCTGGGTAAGTCACAACTACCTGAGGACCATTTTCTTAACTGGTGTATGGTACTGCTATCTGCCTACTCAACTCAGGCAATTGTGGGGCCAAAGACAAGCCCTTCGTGAATAAGACCTACCCAGACGCAAATAGAGTTTTGGGTTTTTTTTTTCCAAGTCTGCAAGTGGTAGAGAGATTTAAGAGTGCCAAAATGTTGGAGGAGCCAAGAGTCCCAACAGCTGCCTGGATCCTTGTCCCACATCTGGGGGTAAGGGGTGGTGGTGGGTAGTAGTATGTTTGCTTTGGGGCTTTAGGGATCTCTGCCAAATCTCTCTCCCCTTTAATTGTAACCTCAAGTGTTAAACTTCCCTAGGGACCACAAACTCTTCTGAGTCCTGGTCCATGTTTCCACCATCTTGAGAAACAAATACAAGTGTGTGTGCATGACTATGGCTGGGAGTTGGCTGCTATGAGAAAGTCAGTGGTAATCAGCTGTTACACGAGATAGGTACCATAAAAACCTGTGAAGAGTGATCAGTAAGATATTTGACCCTAAATTTATCCCCAGATACCATCATTCTAGACAGATAAGGAATCTGACTCCCTTTTTTGCTATTTGATTGCTGACAGCTTTTAAGCTTCATGCCTTTCTTCCCCTCTGCTTCACATCTGGGCAGCTGATTTAAAAAATAGAAAAAAAAAAAAAAGCCTGTGTGCTTTCTCCTTCAGCTCTGACAGGAGGTTCCAACAATGTGCACTGGATACTACCATGTTTTCCCCAAAATAAGACTTAACTGGAAAATAAGCCCTAGCATGATTTTCCAGGATGCTTGTAATATAAGCCCTACCCCAAACATAAGCCCCAGTTACGATTGTCAGCCAGATATGACTGTTTGAATAAATATAGATTTTTGTACATGGATAAATAAATGTAGATTGTTGGAGCAAAAATTAATATTAGACCCGGTCTTATTTTGGGGGAAACACAGTATCATCCCCACCCCATCCCCTAACCACAATAACAGTCCCAAGCCAGTCTCCTTTCCTGGCTTTCTCCAACCATCATCCAACCAGCTGGGAGGTCTTCCTTGTGATCAGCAGCCTCCATTATGTACAATAATAAACCTTTTTCATAGGTGTGCAAAAAAAAAGACACTCATTCACTGCTGGAAAGGCGCCTTTGAGAACAGTTTGCCACTACCTGTCAATAGTTTCAATAAGTATATGCACTGACTAAGCGATTCTACTTAAAAGAATTATCCTAGAGATAATGGGTCTAGGCTATACCTCCACTGGGTTAAAATTACGTCAATTTTATTCAGCACTGTACATATAGCACCCAGCACAATACCTGGTTTGCAGTGAGTGCTCAACAAATATTTTTCGAATGAAATCTTCAATGTATCTGTACGCTCATTGCAGTTATTCATAATATTTAAAAAGTGGATATGACCCAAAATACATCAATAGGGAAACTGATTAAGCATTCATAAGATGAAAAACAATGCAGAGAATATGCAGCACAATATGTAGAGGATGATCCAAGTTTTACTTAAAATATAATGTAGTATGTACACAAGAAAAATGAGGGAAGAACACAAAGTATTGGGTTGTTGGAAAAGTCATGACGTATTTTTTGTTTTTCGTTGCAAAAATGCGTCATGACTTTTCTAACAACCCAACCGTTGATACCTCTGGGGGTTTAGGTCTGTGGGTGATTTTCGTTCTCCACTCTAACAAAATTTACAAAGAACACAAATCACTTTTGATGTAATAAAAAATAAAGTTTATTTATTCGCTTATTTTTTTAAGAGTGGTAACAAGAGGTCCTGAAGAGACTGCAGCAGGCAACAGTAGGGCTCACAGATGAGAGATTTCTGGGGGAGGGACGTAGGAGAATTCACTAGCCCCTGGAGTCTGGTCCTCAACTGGTAGCCCATACCCCAAAAGCAGACTGGCTTTTGAGAAGTGACTTACACTAATAAGCTCAAAAAAGAAAACCCTTCACTAATTTGAGCAAGAAACTATAACTGGCACACAGGGCATGTGTGTGTTTTATGACTTGTGACCAGCACATCTATGTGACTGACCTATAAAGGGAATCAAACTCTAACTGGAAGTTTCTTGATGATGTACAATGGACTCAGGGGCCCACAATGGGTACGACTTGCCACAAAGACTAAATAGGTCAAGTCCTTGGGGTATGGCACCCTCATCCCTGGGTGTGTGTTGGGGGGCAAAGGCAAAACCTGGATATACGGGCTTCCTTTGCTATGCTACAGGCTGGTCATTCACTTCAGCTTAGTCTTTTTCCCGAAAAAGAACATGCTAGTTAGATTTTAACATACTAAGTCACATACTTAATTCTACATCCATAAGTTTACACCAAAACACCTTAATTAAGATTTGGGGATTCATCAAACATTCACATAATTTCTTGGTTTATCCCTATCTCCCAACTGGTATGAATTATACTAATAGAGTCTCAGAAGGCAACCTTATTTTATTCATTTCTAGTTATTTTTAGAACTTCTTCACCATCATCTTTATGTAATGCCTACAAAGGTCTGAAGGGAGGAGAAAGGGAAGTCATGAGTAGGTTTTAAGGCTTAGGGAAAAGTCTAAAGGTAAAGAAATTGGTAACTAGGTATTAGTAGAAACCAAGGACCTTCCTTGGACCACTCACTGTGCTCTAAACACATGACACACATTATTCATAACGCATAACTGTGGTAATACTACTAATCCCATTTTACAGATGAGGAAACTGAGGCTTAGGAAAATAAATAACTTGCCCCGGGGCAAAGTTTGCAAAGTTGAACATGAATAAGAAAACAGTTGTAGTATTAAAAGTCTGGGCGGCCTTGAGAAACTTTCAGAATGAAAACAAGAACAATGGAAGCAGGAAGTTTTCTTTGGGAAATTTGTGATCAGAGGGAAAAGGATGAGAGCAGGAAGAGGAGCAAGACACTGTGGTGGCATTGGGTCTTTTTAAATTTAGATTTAAACCCAAGTGTGGTAACCTAGTACATACCTGCAGTATGTCAGGTACTTGCTAGGTGCTGGAAATTTGCAAATAGAAAGAATGGGTAACTTCGAGGGCAACAAAGAACTTGGGAGGGCAGGGGGTTAAAGAGCACACAGCTGGACAATTAGCATGGGTTAAAATTGGGACATTTCTTCCTTCACCTTCTTCAAATTCGTTATGATATTTTCAAATGCCCACTGCCAGAACTGAGAGATCAATTCTGATGTAAAGAACAGGAAACATTCTCCTCAAAAGCAATGTTAGAAAATCAGAGTTTTTATAAGAGCTTATGATTTATATACTATAATTTTGTGGTACTAAGTGTGGGTTATTAAGTTTTTGTGGAATTAGCCTAGAAAATTGACATCATACATTAACACTCTACGGGAAAATATTTTTGAGTATGAAACAACCGCCTTACAAACTAATTTCAGTGTGACCCAGTTATATTATTATATATTGTCCAGTACCCAGTTCTGGGGGCGGGAGGGTGGGTCAAGAACAGTACATTATGAATAGTCGTTACTGCCAACTGCTTAGTAACTATGTTTTCTGAAACTAGTCACAGCATTATAGGGCACCCAGGAGCCAACAAGGCTGATGTTTCTTTAAAAAACAACACAAAAAAATCCTTTTTAATGGTTTGCTCTAAAGAAATCAACGATTCTTTGACACAAGTGGCTGGACATTAATTTCCTCCCCATAGCTCCCTCCCCTTTTGTACCTACCAAGGAAAAACAAAGAAGACAACCTGAAAACAAATGAAAGGATTTAAAAATTATTTACTCTTTACTTTTATTACAATAAATATTTATCAATAATAGAATTAAACAATTTTAAATTAAAACCTACTGCATTCCTTTTGGGTTTCACAGCAGCAGAAATAAACATACATCCAGTTGAAAGAGCAAGGCTTCCAGAATCCAGTGGCAAGAAACAGTCAGGTCTTGATTATCGGGGCCAGCAATGGGGACCAGTACTGCCGATGATGCAAAAACAATGGTGAAAGGCATGGGTGTACTCTACTTGTACATCAAAGACTTATCTAAGATATCACAACATTCCAGCTAAGGAATTGAAGCAAGTTGTGAAGCCCCACTTCTACAAGAGCTAGATTTCTCCCCCATCAAGCCCAGGAGCACAAGCGCTCCCAGAGCTGCCTTCTGGCCAGGAGTGGGTCCCATCATCATCCAGACCCAGGAGCCTCAACCCTGGTGGAAGCAGCCATCTTTCTCAAAAGTGGTCTTCCTGGCTCCCATAATCCCTGGTGAAAGGGAAATGGAAAGTGACATACCTCAAGGGCCTTTCTTGAGGGCTGAGGTGAACTGGAAGTAGGAGATTGTGGCCCCAGGCAAGGAAGAGGCTTCACCGTAATGGGCTACATGCAGATTAGGTCGACATGAGTCAAGTGTAACGGAGGCTCACCACTTCACCGATAATCAAGAGCAGACCGCATGTATATACGAATATATCATACAGATATATGCACAGGGAATACATGTGTACATATTAAATATGTATATACACACACCACACATAACCAGGTAAAATAAGGCTACATTATTTACTCTGAACACAACAAGCTCTAGGCAGACCAATTACTAACATGTTCAATTAAACTACTTGAAAGGGAAAAGAAGATTTTGTGCTCCTCTTCATCTACTTCCCTAATATAGTCTACTTATAGCAAACATACTCCAGTTGCTCAAGTAGTATTGTTCCTAGGTACCTGAGAAGGGATGGAACCATCCTTTTGGTTCAGAATACTACAGAAAGCAAACTGCAACAGGACCAAGCGAAACAACTCAATAATTGATTCGGCCATGATTCCTGCCACCTATTCTTAGTTACAGGGGATGAAACCTTACTCAGAAAAGTATCCGATTCTTTCTCTACAACTGGGTACAAATTTAATCTATTATATGAGACGAGAGGGAAACGGGAGAAGGCTGCAGCAGGCAGTTTACACCTCAGCATTATTCCCCTTTACCTAGAAGAAATGCTACTCTTTAAAAAAAAATGAAAGTTGGAGTTTAATACTAAATTCTGCTTTCTTGGCACATTTGAGAATGAATAAATCAATACATGTAGCTGGGTGTTTGTCTCCTGAATGGCTGCTCTAATGGGGTAAGTTATCTAAACAAAATAACTTACAAAAAATGCTAATATTATGGGCAGTCATAATTAGTAGTTATTAAACTCAAAGCCTGATACTGAATGATACCAGTTATTCAGATTTATAATGCAGTATTCACAGATCTTGTAAAATTAAAACAGGTCCCTCCTATAACCTGGGTAGTCACATCAAATGCTAACTAAATATGTTCCTTGGTCAAGAACTTACTTTTTAGATATTAAAAAGTGCTTGTCAAGCATATCAGAATCTAGAATTTATGGCGAATTGTATTTGTTGTAATAAAAAATCAATTCTGATTTTAATTGTTACCCATAGAAACTGCTCAAGAGAAGACTTTAGCCAAAGAGCCATAAGGCACTCGTGGCAGCCACTCCTGTGTCTTCAATCCTATCTCCAATTTCAATGTAGCATTGGATATTATATGGCCGTGATCTAATTCAACTGCTTTAAAAACAGCACCACTCTGAGTTAGCCTGGCTTTCTGAATGATTCTGTGAGAAGTAAGACAAATGGTCTGTGGCACACCAGGCACTCCTTCTGTTGTATCCAAATGGTCTTTCCTAGAGAGACAAGCCCTTGTTAAAATACTCTAAAATCAGTTCACATGCCACTTTCCAATTCTGGGAGCCTGGCCCTTCTGACCAAATGCAACACGACCCCCTTGCTCAGACCACCTGTGACAAGGCCACAAATGGCAACACTTCTTTTGCTACCCTAAATTTTAGCTCATTTAAGATCTGTCTGTATAAAGAGCAGGTTCCTGCCTTAAAAAAATAAAAAAAAAATCAGCCAGATTACTATCTCTTGCATATTTGTTTACTAAAGAGCAAAGCATATTACCAGCATGCAGGTTAAAAAGGTTACATTTATTTTGCACTGTAGAAACACTGGAAGTGAATTAGCCAATAAATCCAGTTCCCATGGCGCCACACAAGGAAGAAGTAAACGTATCACCACTTTTTCTGAAAACATTAGACAACCATAATTTACTATATACCCTGAAGTAGCTGCCCGCCAATATGTCAGTCATTTGTACCACTGTCAAAGATAGAGAGTAAAACATACAAATCACATGGATTTCATAATTAATAAAAGAAAATCAGAATTTACTCACGCTTCCTAAGATGTACAGAGCATCACACTTTCAAGTTTCACAGTGATTAATTTAACACCATTTTACTGTTAAAACTGTCACTTTAAACGTACCTGTCAAAGTGCTTCAAATGCAGCATACTAGTTAAAATTCTTCCTGGAAGGTTCTAGCACTGGCAGCTAACTTAACGTTATTCACCCACAGGGTGTTCAAGAAAGGGCATGCTGCCTCACAAAGACCCCTCATAGGATAAAGAAAATTCTAGTCTGACTTCACAAATTTCTTACAGAGTGCACAATCAAGTCTAGAGCTGAGGTCAAAATAAAGGCCACTCTGAACACAAGAATCAACACAACCCAAAATTTCTCTGTTTTTGGCCAAAGTCAAAAGCTCTGTCTAGCCCATCAGATTGACTTTGTTCCCTCTGGCACGTTTCTTGACTAGACATCTGAGGCAATCAAGGAGATCTGAATGTGGCAAGATCTAGAAGCAACAAAGCAGGTGGGCATCTCTGTCCCAGGCGGTGGCGAGTTAAAAGGAAACCCAGATGAAGACTGAAGAGGAAGAGATACAAACAGACTTGTAGTTAAAAAACAAGGCAGAAAGTGGACTTTGATTCTAACACCTTCAGAGAATCTTTTTATTCTCCATAGACTACAGAATCAAAGTCTCCCTTGGAAAGCAAGGTGCATTCCAAATGCTTTATGACTGACTACAAAATAAACTAATTCTTTGAAAACTAAACACTTAGGAAACTTTCAAATTCACACTTGAATATGAAATGAATGGAGGAATGATGATTTAAATTGTGACAGTTTTAAACTGTGTGTTACACTGAGGTGATTGGGCCCTAAGGGCATTAGGCATTAAAGTGACCCCTTCTTCCCTTAAAGTAGATATTACATCTGCTCTTTCCTTTGCATATTCCCCCAATGCCCAGGCTCCAGCTCATGATCAATACTCTTGTGGTATCCATTTAGAATTTGGACAACTCTAGACATGCACTCCTCTTCCCAATAGATCTATATTAAAATAAATGACATGTTGGTAGCAGTCCTGTGACTTTCTAGACCACAGTCGGCATTTAACTTTCTTTTAAAATTAGAATTAAAAGTATTTTAAACATGATATTATTAAAATGTCAAGGAAGACTATTGAGTTTTTTATTTGGAAGTTATTCACTCTATTACCCTAAGACTAAAACCCATAAAGTATATTTATTACGTATTGGTAGAGGAATAAGATTTAAATTGTGACAATTTTAAACTGTGCATTGCACTAAGATCATGAATGTTAAAAGGATCACAAAAGGCGGCATTAACATACTCCATCCAGGCAGTTTTAGATTTTTCTATCCCATGCCCCGCTCAATTACTGGGGAATTATTTTCTGACAAGAAAGGACATTTTTCATACCATAACCTGGAAAGAAACTTCTTACAGGTCTAGGTAACTTTGGTCAGCAGAAACACAAAGCAAACCTCTGGCCTGGCTAAGGCACTCTATTCTGAAATGTACAGAAAACATGCATGGATGACCAACCATGCCACTGCTCCCCAAAAGGCAGCTCAGTGTATGCTGGGAGAAAGGCTAGGGTGTGAACTCACCCCAAAATATCATGCATACACCTGAAATCTCTTTTACACTTTGGAAATGTTATAATTGGCATGACATAAATCCACAGAGCTATTTGTAATTAATCTTGCTTCAGGCGTCCTATCACTACATGACAAATGGGGGCTTTCAAGATGCACTTCAAGATGGCGGATGAAACCAAGAAAAAGAGTCAGCAGTACACTAAAGAAGCACAAGTTCACAGTATTCTGCAACAGTTAATTACTCAGTTTCACTTTTACCTTATTGACAGCCACCTTTCTTTCATCATCTATGTCAATAAAACTGAGTAGGCATAATTCTTTACCACCATAGGGAAATAAGTAATAAAGCATAGGCACAAAAGAATTTTCAAACAAACCAGAAAGAGAGCAGAAACACTTTGAGGTAAAATGGCCCCAAATTACAGGACATGACCCTATGCCAGAAGTAACGGGTATTTTTTTTTTTTTACTATGCTGTACAAGGTGAAGAAAGCCTGTGGTCCAAATTTGTAATTTTATAAATATTTATCAGTTCCTTTTTTATGTAATACAGATTAATCTCATTCTTGTGTACAAGGTCAAGAAAACAGTAAAATGATTAGCTTAGAAATCTTAAAACAAAGCTTTGTTCCCAGCCCAAATTCACACTTTATCCAGTTCAAGTCTACAGATGACACAGAACAAGGTATACAAAAAATAGTGTTACCTTCACTTAATTGGTTCAGTCTCTGACCTCCATGATGACAACTTATTAACATACATGGAATCACTACCCACATTTTCCTGAATCAATTTCCCACCTATTTTCAGTGTTCATTTTTGTCTCAGAGAAGGTCACCAAATGTACCTCAAGCTTTACATTTTTAAAATTGAGTACAGAATCATGAGTTAGCTCCTTGACTCCTCATTTCTAACAACCTAGATGACAATGATTAGAATTTACAAATTTAAAAATTGAAATATCAATTACATAGTTATTTTTACAAAGCAGCAGACAGAAATTTAACAAAGGGATACATTATAATTAAGTTGAAAGATGGCCACATTCATAGATAAATAATGGTTATGAAGGTAATTACATATCAACACAGTGGTGCCTATTTTATCCAAGTGCAATCCATCCAAAAAAAAAGGGTTTAAGATACACTCTTCATTCAAGCACAAACTTCATTCCGTGGAAAATAAAAGAAAATCAGGAAGTAAATTTCACCACCACCAAAGTAAATGGAGAAAGTCAAAAAGAAATAGAGGAAAATATCCACATTCATGAAAAGGTGTGTTCTATAAAACCATATTAAAGTCAAAGAGATTTTTATGTTTGTCAGTAAACCTCAAAAATTACTCCAGGTCATATTAAAGGGAGTACATACTCAGTAAGGCATATATATCAAAAGTTTTCTTCAAGAGGGGAGATGAGCAATTTGGGGAAGAGAGAATTTCTCTACACCTTTGTCCTGAATGAAATAAAAAACCCCAGCACTCTCCCCTCCACACAAAGAGGTAGAGGGAGAGAGAAGAAGGAAAAAAGGACAAATTGAATCAGAAAACTAATTTTGTAGTGAGGTTCACAGTAGGAATTTCATAGCGAGGTTCATGAGATTCCTAATCCCAAAGTAAATTTCTCTTATAAGGAAATTTATCTATGTTCCTCACAAGTAATTATCATAAAACTGACACTGTCATGTGCATTCATTTAATCATTGTTCACAGGCACCAAATCTCAGCAACTTGCAGCTGAGGAGGGAAAATGCCACATTTAAACAATGAACCACGCCAATGGGTGAGCTACAATTACAATCCATTCTCTACTAATTTTCAATAGAATCTTTTTCTTTAAAAGAAAATTAAACCATTTACCTTACCAAGATCTGTTTCACAACAAAGAGAGCCCAAATACTAGAGTACTAGAGAATCCATATATATATATATACATACATACATATATATGTATGTATATATATATATGTATATTAATATATATATGTATATTATATATATATTTAGCTCTCTTAGCACATGAGGACAAAGGTATTTCCATGGGAAAGAGAAACCAGTATTTGGCAAACCTGTATAGTGTTCTGCAATCATTTGGCATCTCTTGCTGAAGGTGACTTGCTCTTACCTTTTCCTTATATTAGATGTGGACTACTGATAGCTTCCACAGCTAAAGACTCAGTACTAAGTACCAAATATGAAAACATATTGTGGTTTTCTGAATGTCTGAACCAAAACTTCATAGACTCATGAACCTAAAATCACTAGGAACATTTTGCTGGTCTAATATACATTATGCTTAACCAAAACGTCACATGGTTTTATAAAAAATAAAATAAGCTGGGCGTTAGTAGATTCCAAATTCCCCAAGTTCAGATTATATGTATCGTTCCTGCTGTACAAGTACCACACACACAGAGTTCCCAAGTCTGTTAAGCAGATCAGTTTAGTTCAATGGTGATGGATGAAATATTTACAAGCATCTTATTTACAGTACTTCTTTCTGTAGATTACAGACCAATATTCTTTTCTTCCATTCCTAGTCAATCCGAGTTTGGTTTCCTCAATGAGAAGGGGTAAATCTGAAAGTGGTTGCTCAGTTGCTTTACCTACAGAAAACCAGAACATGAGGCAGTGACAAATACGACCTAATTATTTTTTAAAAACACAAAGAATTCACCCTCTGGAGTCATCAATTTACTGACACAGCAAAAATCACCAGAAATAATGAAGAGGTTTTTCTAGGTGAGGCTAGTTATAGAGCTAGATGGCTAAGTGAGAGCCTGGGACAGTTAGGACTTAAACCTGGGTCTGCCTAACTCTGCTGTTCTAGTCTTTCCAGAGCCCTTCAGACCACACAGATTCACATCCAAATCTACTGAAGAATTATAGGATTAGTTAACTTGGACTACCTAATAGATAAAATATTTACATATCTTCAGCTTTTCAAAACATTTCTAGGTAATCATTCCTAATCCTGATGAAACACTGTAAAGCTAGATTTGTGAATTTTGGGAGGTTGAGACCATATTACTTAGGATATCCCTAGTGGGTAGGCAAGGGCTTGGTTATGTGCCAGTTAGTAAATATCACTTGTTTGATACTTCTTATTTCTATTCTTGTTTGTATTATTTATATTTCAATAGTTCAAGGGAATGTTTTGTGCAGCTTAGCAAGTTTTACCTCCTGGTCAGAAGCTGTAGAAGTGGTAAGAGAGCACAAAGACATACAAAAGATGCTCCTGGAATTTCTTTCAGTCAGCCTGTATTTATTTTCTAGATTTTTAACAAAAATGTAGTGCTTTTGTAATTTAAAGAAACTGTGTTTTGGTTTGGTTTAGTGTATGTATGATTTTCTGAAGATAGGCTTCTAAAGGGTTGTAAGTTAAAACAATGACAAAAGACATGGCAATTGTGTTCTATTTCATGTACATGGCTGATGAAACATCAAGATAAAGGCCTATGAGTACAGATATAAAGTATAATGTCAAATTTGCACAAATAAAAACAAACAATTATGTCTTCATATCATAATTCATAAACTTATCATATTTTTTTCCCATAATAATTTCATCTATTTTGTTCCAACAAATGTGGGCTACTTTGGAGAGAAACACTAAAGGGAGAAAGCCCAGGTTTAGCAACATATGCAAAGCTGTTATCAAGCATGACAGGTGCCCCCATTTAAAAAATATGTACGACAATATATAAGACATTTTGTTTTTCAAACTGATTCACAGCAGGGTTCCTTTCAAAACAAGCATAACAAATACAAGTATTTTAAGAAACATAAAAATGTGAATACCCTTTTACATAACCCCATTGCTATGAAATTATCCTCAGAAAATAAAGTAAAAGAAAGAAAAAATACTATTCCAGGTCATTCACTCCAACATTCTAATAGTGAAAATTTGGAAACAACCTCAATGATTAAAATAACTGGGTCACAATTAAATTGGGTAATTATTAAGCCATCTCTTTGATGGAATATACTATAGCATATACTATACCATTTAAAAATCATAATTATGAGACCATGCTAGAATATGTAAAACGATTAGAAAAAAAATATTAAAGTGTGATGAAAAAGAAAATAAACTGCATGATTCTGATGTTCATTTTATTAAACCAATCTTAGTTCATTTGTCCTGAAACTAGTCTCTTATTTTAGAAGAGAATATTAAGGTTTGCAAAATACTTCTTAAATCCTCTCTTCTATATTTCCCTTTATTTATTATTTCTCCTGATGAGAGCTCAGGAATAGCACAGATGAAGTAAAACCTCGAATAATGCAAAAGCCTTCCTTTAGTCTGAATTCTAACCTCCCTTACCACATTGCTTATAGAATTGGGAAGAGCCAGGAAGGGAGGCAATGCTATAAAACCAATTTCAGTTTCTTTACAAATTATGTTAACGAGCAACAAAAATGCCCCTAAAGATAAAGAAGCATACATAGAAATAATCCACAAATGGGATTATCTGGTCCTATATAATTAAAAACACAAATGAGTTTACAATTCTATTCACCAAGAAAATGGTTTATATTTTTACCCACTTAAAAACAAGAATTCCTTATAATAATTATCCAGTTTTTTAATTAGTTGTAGTTATTATAACATATTCATTAAATAATATCTAAAATTACACACCTGGATATTATCCAAAATTTAGAGAATGTACCAAAATTCTTCTTCAGATACTATAATAAGCAAACTTTCTTTTGAAATTTTCCCTTACCCTCTTTCCACTATTTATAAGAACCAAATGGAATCAATTTGTTCTAGATTACTTACCACTCGTACTCCATAATGGATGTGGGCCAGAGTGAAAGCAGTTGTTAACGTATACAGAAGAATGCTCTCAATATAAGAGGCAACTCCGAAGTTGACCACCATGACAACCAAGAAGAGAGGAACCAGCAACCAATTCAGAGTTGGACACCTGGTACTGCTCATTTGACAAACAATCAGCTGACACTTGTAGTTAAAAAAAAGTAATAATAATAAAAATAAAAATTTAATTAGCAAATCACTTCCAAAACTGTCACTCCAACATTTAAAAAGCATTCAAGTACATGAGCCAATACATTTACATTACGTTACTAAGTTCAGTGGTCTCAACTGTTCAGAGGCCAGCTGGACCTCTGCCCCATGGCCAAACCTATTGACCCTCAGACCACGTATGTGTCAGAAGAGTCTGGAAGGTCATTTAGTAAGGATGCTATAGAAGGCATTCTTCCACAGGGTAACAGTTTGGGTAGGGAAAATTTCTCTCGATTTTAAGATTCTGTGTTATCTGAAAAATTTCAACACAGCCACCCATATACCTACACACTAAATTTCTTCATGGAGATGAGATGCCACCTCCAGTTCAGTCATATTACATATTAACACCTCAAAACCTCTTTGGCTCCTTTGGCTTTACTCAAATACAGTTTTATTATTTCATAGATACTTTTTATACATGAAAGCATAAGCTCAGTGGCTAAGTAACAAAATATAAACTTATGAAGGACCCGGCCTGAGCTCTTAGAGACTAGGCTTCCTGGCTGTCCAGACTGGCAGGCTCTTTGCTCAACTCCCACTGATCTCTCCTTCCTGTCTGCTCTCTTGCTACACCATAGCAGAGAAAGGGATTTTTAAAAATATGTTGTATTTATTACATAGTTTTGAATTCCATGCTGCTGATTTAAAAAGTGAGTGGAAGGTATGCGTGTGTGCAATGTGTTTTCTCTCTCTCTCTCTCTCAAAAAGCCCTTTCAGGCTCCCTAAACTAATCATTAGATCTGCAGCCATTTAAACCACACTGATGATAATATTTACAGTCTGAAGGGAATATATAAATTATTCCATGAATTCTTCAGCAGGCAACCAAAACAAAAAATTTAAATATGCCAGGGTTCCAAAATACTACTGCAGTCTCTAAATCCTATTGTTTTTAAAGGGAAAAATAAAATAATTTTCAGCATGTGCTGTCTTTGAGGTTATTGTTTTTCAAATTATGGATTACAATATCTTTAAATTAAAATCTGCTTATTCTAATACTGTAAATGGTTTCTCAAATTATCAAATTCTGTCATGTATTCTTTATATATACTGTGATTTGTAAAAGAAAAAAAGGCTTACTGTGATATTAGCAAAGGCTGTTCCAACCATAAAGTAGAACACCCTAGGATGTATCTCTAAAATATCTGAAGGTGACTGGAGGATCCACGCTGTAGACAAAATGAATAGCAAACATGGAGAAAAGAAGGGAACCAAAGCTTCATAGACTGAATTGTGTTTCAAGGTGTTACTTTTATAACTTCTGGAAAAAAAAAATCAAGTAATACAAAGAACATTATTACATATAAAACTTATACTGTACTTGTATTTTATCATTTTCAAAGTAGTTTCATACTTATTCTCTTTTTATACTCACCACAATCCTATGGCATAGGTAGCACCAACATTATTAACCCCATTTTAACAGACAGGTTAAGTGAGGATGTGAGATTTTAAATTACACAACTTGCTACCAAGAGGCAGGGCCAGGACTAGAACTGAAGTCCTCTGACCCAGTCCCATTTTCACCTCTGGAATGTAAATATGAATAAAAATTGGTTTTTGTTCTATGGGATTATAATAGGGAAAATAAAATGAACACAAAGCAATACTAGAAGAGGATCTCAGAATGCTACTATGATACAAAGTGATAGAGAACTTAAGAGTGAGAAGAACGAACCCACACGGACAACTCTGAAAGAGTCTGCTGACAGCACACGGGTGTCTCTAGGTGCACAGGCAGTATTCTGACATATGATGGCTCATCTGATCAGAGCCCCAAATTCTAGTCCTGGTTCTGCCACTGATTACATGCCCTTGACCAAGATGTTGCCCTATCAGGACCTCATCTTTGGAAGAGGAGGAAGAAATGACTCCATCTCTAAGGCCTTCAGAGCTCTCAATTTTATGGCTTCTATGAAAGACTGCCAGCTACAATAAACAGGAAAGATTCACAGAGCTTGGCCTGACATGGTTAGGATTCTGCAAGACAGATCTGAGAGCTGAAGGATGAAGTGGGAAGTACAAAAGTAGAGGAAACAGTGGAACCAAAAATACTGAGGAGGGAAAAGAGCAGAATATATTCAGATCACAAAAAGAAATTCAGAGTGGCTGCACAAAAGTGGGGAAATGCACAGATCAGAGAAATGCAACCCTCCACCCGAGCCACTCGCCTCCTCATACCCCACCCTCCTCCCAGGTAGGAATTTCTATACAGTGCTCTGTTGGAGAAGAGTTAGCATAGGCCTAGGGTTTGGTCCTAAACTGTTCACGTTCAGAAGTTTTTCTGTTTTTTGTATTTTATGATCATGCTAAGTAAACGTAGGATAATCAACTTATAAAACAGAATGCAAACATATCAATATTCAACAGGAACATACTCCTTCCTGGTGGATAGTTTCACTCACAAAAAAATGACAAATTAGAAGACCGGTGAGCCCAAAACTGTAACAAGAGAACAAGTAGCTCTGTGCTATGGTTGAAGTGACCACACAAGCCACCACAGATATCCTAAATTATCCTAACCTCATTCTAGATTCAAAATACAGGTTTCATGACTTTTTCAAAACATTCAGATTCCAAAAGGAAAAGAGATCCTAAAAGTCATCTAAATAATTTCTAAAGGTTTTACTTTTTGCCCGATTAAAAAATAAAGTACAAGGGCCGGCTGAGTGGCTCAGTTGGTTAAGAGCTCACTCAAGAGTTTGAGCTCTGAGCAACAGCAGTTCGAGTCAGCCCGAGCTGAGCAGCCGCTGAGCTGCCAACAGGTGGCAGGATGGCTCAGCTAAAAAAAAAAAATAATAATAAAAAAAATAATAAAGTACTTACCTGTAAAAGTTTAATAAACTCATTGGAAGAGTCACACACAATGCACAACCTAAAAGGAAGAAAATTTAAATTATAATTATGATTCAAGAGTGACTTTTACATACAAAATACGTAATATTTTTAGACCCAATAACTTTCAGGTTCCAGTTTAATTCTGTAATAAAATTAAATACTAAACACTTTTCTGAACATTTACAACTGGAAGGGTGGCAGTACAGTTTGCTGGTTCAGAGCACAGGCTTCAAGGAGCCAGACTGGGCTTGAATCTCAGTTGTACCACCAACTGGTTAAGTGACCTCAGTTAAGGTATAACCTTTCAGTGCCTCAGTTTTCTCCTTTATAAAATAGAGATAATAGTAGTATCGACCTCAAATTGTTTTGAGAATTAAATTAATTGTTACATGTAAAGACACCTCAAACAGTACCCGGTATATAATATACTGCTCAATAAGGGTGAGCTATTGGAAGAAGGGATGACTAGTGGATTCTGCTGTTTCCCATTTATACTTATTTTTACCTCTTGAGCCTTCTCAACTTCTTCCCCTGCTCCATACATTAGCTCTTTCCCCTCAAACCTAAAAACAAGGATGGCCTTCCCAAGAAATCCTACCAATGCTTTTGCACTCATTATTGACTATTTCCAATCACTCGCCAAAATTTTCTGTCGCCTTAATTCCTTAGCACTCTTTTATTCATTCTGCCTCCCATTCTGCAGAAGCTATACTCTTAAAATGTACCAAGCTCTCCTGATGATCAAATTCAATGTCCTTTCTTCATTCCTGTCTTCTAAGTAAGATGACTGTTGGCTATCCACTAATTGCAATGCCTTCCTCCCAGTGCCGTTGAGATTCCATTCTCCCAGCATTCCTGCTGAACAGCCAACCATTCTTCTGATGCCCCTTCTTGACAACTCTACCTCCTGCATATTCCTAACTGACGTTCTACTGAGCCTGTACTCTCTCCCAGGGAATCTTCTCTTACAGCTTTGACTGCAGCCTCCTGCAGATGACTTCACATTCTAGTGTGTACTCTTGTGCAAATCAGACCATCTCTCTGAGGTTCAGACTCCTCAGCTGTACAATGTGAATGGGTTCAGTGATTTTCTAGTGTCCCTTGCATCTTTAAAATTCTATGATTCTATGATCTATAAAGATGTGAATTCCTGATCTTTCTTTCTTTCAAACCCCAAATCAATACATGTGGTATTTTCTGGACACGTCATTTGGATATTTCATTGTCACTCAACATATTAGCCCTAGTTTGTGCATTCTGGACCACTGGTGACTATACTTCGCTGGGGGGTGGGAGGGTCAATGCAGCTATGACTGTAAGGCTCAAAGGTCGAAAAACATTCCTTCAGAAAAATTACTAAGACATTTTCCTAAAACAGATAAAAACTATAATCTACCAAACAGAAATCTCATCTCAAAAGATAAATATCTCTGCTATTTCCAAGTCCAATTGGAACAAAGTCCCCCAAGTTAGATCTTAGAAGGAATAGAAGAAGATAAACTGTGTCCTCCATATCCTCAGAAATTTTTTGCAGCTGACTCCATGTCAAGCTGGGAAGTACTGAAAGGGAGCCAGGGCTAAATGAATTAACACAGAATGACCTGTAGCTCTGAGGTGTTGGAAACAGGCTAAGAGAAACTTGCAAAAGATTTGCTACCAAGAGTATTCTGTAGTTTAAAACATCTCGAATGAGCATACAGAAAAGGCTGGGCTCTAACTAGGCTGCCAACAAAAAAGAATGCATCTATTATTTCTTCTCTAACTACCACTTAATGTACATTCTGTAAAGAGTACTTAATTGTTCATTTAATACTTATCTATCAAACGCTATATAATAATAGTGATAGAAACCACACATATGCAGGTCTGCTTTTCATGTTGCCATAGGAAGGCCCAGACTTCATAATATAGGAAACTTAATAGCTACAGAAAAATTAGAGAATTCATAAAAAATGAATTAAATAGAATGAGAATACACTCCAAGAATAACATGGTCACACAAAATATTTTGGTTCCTCACATTTCTAGGCTTATTTATTAAATAGAGCCACCAAGAAAAAAAGTATCCTAAGGAAAGTGAAAAAAACAAACAAGGGGAAAATTATAATTTATATCAAAAGGTCAATATAATTAATATATGAAGTTTCTAAAAATAAAGAAAATGGTTAACAATCCTACAACACAAACTGGCTAGATATATAAAAAGTATAGAAAAAAGAAATACAATGGCTCTTAAACACTAGAAAAGTCCTTTCAGAATAAGAGAAATGCAAATTAAAACTATACAGATATATCATTTCTTACCTATCTGATTGGCAAAAATCCAAAAGTTTAACAATATACTATGTTGGTGAAACCATAAATAAACAAGCATTTTCATACATGGCTGGTGGGAATTTGAAATAAACCCATATGGAAGGGAATATGGGAATATTTCATGAAATTGCATACATTTGTCCTTTACTAGCAATTCTATTTCTAGGGATCTCTCCAAAACACCCTGGCAAAAATATAAAAAGACAGATATATATATACACACACAAGACTATTCACTGCAGCAATTTGTGTAACAGCAAAAAGACTGGAAATAACCCATATGTCCACCAGTAGGAAGCTGACTGAATCAACTATGGCAAATCCACACATGAAGCACCAGGCAGCTATAAGAAGGAAGGAGGAAGCGCCTTCTCTATCACGAGGCAGTTATCTCTAGGATATACTATTAAGTGGAGGAGGAAAAAAACAAGTATAGTAAAATTGTACAGCATGCTGCCATTTATCTATGAAAAGGGGTGATAATCCCCCCCACCACACACACTTATATTAAGAAAAAATGAAAAGATAAACCAATAATTCAAAACTAAGAATGATTAATTATGAAGGAAGAGAGGATCACAGTAGTGAGAGAAGCTAGACTTCTTCGAATATACCTTGTTTTTTACATAGATTTGACTTTGTAATCATGTGACTATTTTACATAATTATAAAGGAAAAATAAATTTTAAAAGAAAAAATAATCTCTAAAAATCAAAAGTAAAATGAAACAAACTTAAATGTACATATCCATAGATGGTGGCTTAGCCACAGAGTGGTAACCTTAAAATATAGTAACCTGGCTGGGCATCTCGAGTAGGATAAACATTAAGAACAAATGGAACCTCAAAAAAATCACAATCTTAAACAATTTCTAGTAACTGTGTTGTTGCTGACTTTGGAACTGTATTCTGAGACTGTTGTGGGTATTTTATAGAATAAAGTAAATAAAAAATTATTTTGTATCATTGAAAACAAAGATTTGTCACAGTTTAAAGGATACAAATATAAGATCAATGAGATTAAGTAAAAAATCTGTATCATCAAATTTGATTTGGAATTATCAGTATGAATTTATGAGATATTTTATTAAAAACAAACTTTATTCCCCTAGTTATCCACTGAATGAATGAATTCCTAAGCAATGATCATCAATATCTGTTAATACAATTAGGTGAAGAGCTAATGCAGAACTTTGTATCAGATGGGAACAGACAATACCTCAACCCTCTGATCATATTCAGATCAAAACAAAAAAGAGACAACTAGATATTGTGTGCTTCCTAATGTGATGAATGAGAAATACCGTTGCCCAAAAAAAAAACAAACTTGTATCTAACCAAGCCTATAGATCTATGTGTTTACAGAAGAAAACGAGAGATAAAGGAACATGTTAAATGACACAATGAAAATGCAATTAGCAAAATACATAATGCAAAGAATTTTTTTTTAAAAGGTAGTCAACAGAAACTTATTCCCAAGATGTTGGATTTGGCAAACAGACCTTAAAGTAGCTATTTTAAATATGTTCAAAGAACTCAAGGAAAATATGGTGATAATGAAAGAACAGATAGGGAATCTCAACAGAGAAATGGGAAGTATAGAAAGAACCAAATGGAAATTTTAGAGCTGAGAAGTATAACTGAAATGATAGGCTCCATGAAAGATTCACAAGATAGCCTTAAGAGAGCCATCAACAACAGTGGATGCCCCCGGACATTAGAATGACATATTCAAAGTGGTAAAAGAAAAAGTAAAGGCGAAATCAATGTTTTTTCACATAAACAAAAACTGAGAGGATACATTGCTACCAGCCCTGCACTTTAAGAAATGCTAAAGGAAGTCCTTCAGACTTTTGAGAAAGAACACTGTATTTTAAGTCAGATGTACAGAAAGGAACGAAGTGCAGCAGAAATGGTAAATATGTGAGCAAATATAAGAGACTATGTGTTAAAAAATTAACGCAGGGTTATAGAGTAGTGGTGCATTTGGAACAAGATGGGCACTAGTATTGAAAACAGTTGAAGGTGGGTAATGGCACATAGGGATTTACTACATAAAAGTAAAAAGAATAGAAAAATTATAGATGTTTACATTTCTTCATAATAAAAGGAGAGAAACAATGAGAGGGGGAATCCTGCTTTCTATCTTGGTGGCCTGTGTGTTGTACCCAAAGAAGGGAACCTTCCATAATGGCAAACGGAAGCCACTCCACTTCCTACCTACCTGTTCTCAGTCCTTGCCTCACTGGAGGCTCTAGTGCACCCCAGGCACCCCAACACTAGCACTACCAATTATCGGCAGCAACTTAGTACCCTTAGGCCCCTTGGCCCTTCTATCTATTTGTTTCTACTCACATCTAGTACTGGAAAAGCTACTTTATTTATTTATAAAGAAACTTGGGCTTTTATTTTATTTCAGAGGGAAGAATTCAGATAAACTTAACAATTTACAAAGAAAATTATGTGCCTATTAAAGTACCCAACTTATCAGAGGATTCCATCTTATCTTTAAATTTAACATTTAAATGTAAAATGCAGCAAACCTGCCATACATAGGACATGTTGCTTAAATCAAAATGGTAGATGAAACATAACTAGCCTTTTCAAGGTGAAGAAATCACAGTTTACATAGGTACTAAAAAGTGAATATTTCGTAGATTACAGCAGGGTTCATAAAATATCTGTGGTCCAGAGCCACAGAAAAAGGCCCAAACCACTCATTTTCTAAAAGCCAATGCCCAATGCGCCATCTTTTCAGCTGTTTCTAAACCTTACCTAATTCCCATTTCATTACCAAGGTTCAACAACAGAAAGAGACGGGGTTATTTTTCAGATAAGGGAACAGCGACAGCCAACAAGTATGCTTTTTTACTTCTGCAAAGGTCCTTAGTGCTACTCCTGATGCCCCAAAATCATCCAGATGCCTCTTCTTTTTTGCCTCTCTCCACACTCTCCCCACTCAATCAATCATCCTGTAGATATCCCTTTAGCTAAAATCAAAAGGGAAACATCACCATGATCAAAAAACTTTACCTGGCATTCAGTGGCATAAGAAGGATACCTGAGAAGAACAGAGACTCAATTTTTGGAGTGGATGTATTATAAAGTAACCTTTATGTTTCATCTCTTCTATTTCCTACAAACTAATACTTTTCAACTTTGAGATAAACAGAAAATCTATACCAAATGTCACCTACATGTGGATCCTCCAGTACAGTCTAGATTAATTTGAATTAGTTTACAAGGTTTGTGTGATCTATTTTGGTACTTTCTTCTGATTAGAAACACCTTAATCTGAACAACAACAACAACAACAAAAAAAACACACACAAAACAATCAAACCTTGTTTTTCCTTAATGATTAGGTTCAAATCCTACAGGGGTGTAGGGTTGTTCTGCTTGATGGAGGGCAATGGGGATGGGGAAGGGTGTGTTGCTGCTTGTTATAATCAAACACTGGCTTTTATAACAAAGTGATGTTAAAACAGGCTTCAACATGGAGCTTCTTACCAATAATCATTGCAGTGAATAGGTCTCTATATAAGAAATTAAACAGGAAAGGTTCATACCAGGCCTCAACTCCCACAATCGCAGTCACTATGTAGACAAAAGAAATAGTCTGGAAGGAAAATGCAGACAAAAGCATACAGAAGCATTAACAGCTGGAAAGGCCAGGGAGTCAATAACGCTTTATGCAGCACAAGTCTAATCAAACAGTTTCAGTAAAAGCAAGAGATATGCTTAAGACTGACATTGTGGCAAGTCTCTTGACTTTAAAAAAATTTTTTCTGCCAACAATGCTATAGAATAACTAAGTTCTAGACAATGCAAGCAACTGGCCATCATTCGGAACACTTTAAGGCACCTCATCAATTGGCTGAGCCATAAGATGATCCCATTTGCCCACCCAATCACTTTCTTAATCAAAAACACTCCAACTTGTGATTCTTTACTGGAGCCTTAAGTGCAAACGGGCAAAACGGCAACAAAACAAGCTGGGATTCAAAGGCAGGGAAAGTTAACAGCAAGCCTACTAAGTAAGACGAAACAAATTTTGATGCTCACCGAAAAGTTGGCAACAAAGACAAAAAGCCAACAATTATATGTGCACATCTTTCTTTATAAAATCAACAGTTCAAATGAAAGAATATTAGCATTAAGAAACTGTTCATTTTTTGGTGTAATAATGGCATTGAGTTTATGTTTTTGAAAAAGAGCTCTTACCATTTAGAGATATACAGTAAAATATTTATCACATAAAGTCAGGAATTTCCTTTAAAATAATTGGGGAGGGATGAAAAAAGGGATACACGAAACAAGACTGGACATGTGTGGATAACCGCTGAAGCTAAGTAAGAGGAACATAAGGGTTCACTATACTATTCTCTCTACTTTTGTATATGCTGGAAATTTTCCATAAATAAGTAAAAATAATACAAAAGAAAAAAGAAAAAAAGCTCACATCAGTTCAAATCAAAAAAGCTTAAGGGCAATAAAAAAAGGATAAAAACTTCCCCCCAAGTTCATGCAACATTGATAATTTAAAGTAAAACATGTACTTACCACCTGGCTAATGTCATATCCCCATGGCAGGAAAAGAATGCCTGTGTTATACTTTTCCCAATGGGACAGGATGAAAGAAAACAAAACAACCCATAGCAGGACATAAAGAACAAAAACACTGACACCAGATGTTCCTCGTCCAAAGATGGAATATACAGTTACAACAAAGTAAACACATGACCAACTATCGAGGCCATGGTCAAAAAGCTCCCCCAAGGGGGTGCTGGAGTTGGTTCTGCGGGCTTGCTTTCCATCCACACCATCTGCAACAAAGCATAGCACCATAGGAAAAGGTCAGCATCTGTACCAGTACAGAGAGTCTTCTTTGATAAACTGGAGAGCAAAACAAATCAGCATTTCACAGAATGTTAATTAACTAGAGCTACCAGCCAATACTATAGAAATCTAAACTTTAATTCCCACAACTCAAAGATTTCAGAAATAAAATCTGGAATTTCTCAAAGTTTAATTAAAACATTAAAACGATGTATTGCATTGAATGGTGTCAATTTCAGATCTGACAAAGAAGCATTCTAGCTGGACTTTGAATTTCTCTAAATCTGTCTAACAACTGAGTTGTTCCACCAGCCACAAATTCTTAAGGTTCCAGGGAATAGTCAATAGTTATTCATTACATTGTATCTAACCACTCCTTGCTCTAGGATCCAGAAACACCCTGTACTTCAGTCATAAGACCTATTTCACCTTGTCTGATATTACAGTCACTTCTCTATAGATATACTGCCTCCATAATTTTAAGTGCTTTCAGAAATGGTTTGCACATAGTGTCAGTAAATGTAAGAATCAAATTTATTGAAAGCGTGTAATGCACTATTCTTGATGTTGTGAAGATTACAAGAATCTTAGAATACACTAAGTTTGTGCCCTTGGGTGTTTACAGTTGAGAAAAGAGAAGAAACATAATTAAAGATATGATGTATCACAAACCATAGAACGGACAGGTACAGAAAAGGGACAGGCTCTCTTCGGATAATCTAGAATGGCTATCCAGACAAGATGACATCTGAGTGGGGACATAAAGAATGAGATGGATTTCAACAGATAAGAGATAAGAGTATGCCATTTCAAGAGGAGGGTGTGCTCTCAGCACAAACACCGAGATGGAAAAGCACATGCGTGTTCAGAGAAAGCCAAGTAGTTTAGTTTGACTAGAAACTAGTATGTGAAGAGAGCAGTATAAAGAGGCTAGAAGGGAAGTGTGAGCCGATTTAAATGCTTTAGGGAGTATGAGGAGTTATTAAAAGTAACTAAGTAGGGGGAGTGACAAGAGTGAAATCAATGAAGTGCTTCAGAATATTCACCTGACATCCGTGTGAACGACAGACCGGAAGAGGAGCACTAATTAGTAAGCCAAAACTGAGATGAATGCATTCTGAACAAGCTGGGCACAGGTGAGATAGTAACTAAAAACGATGAAGGAGCAAAACGATGAAAGGTGAGGCCAAAGAACAAGACCATCTCCAAAGTTTCCCGTCTGGGTATCGAAGAGAGTGGTAGAGTTACTAGAAATAAGGAAGTCAGAAGGAGCAATACAGATAGAAAAGATACTCAGTATAATGTCAGATGCTGAAACTGAAGTGTTAGCAGGATATCCACAAGATAATGTCAAGCAACTCAACCCAAGGGTACTTATTAACAACTCAGAAGACAAGTAAGGGCTAGCTATAAACACGGAAGTTATTGTAAGTGTTAAGGATCAGAATTACGAAGGGAATTAAGAGAAAGAGAAAGCTAAGCATAAAGCATAATGGAACACCTTCATTTAGGGGCAGAAACAGGATCCTGTGGAGAGGAAGAGGGAGGGGGAGAAAGAGAGAGCGAGAGCGAGAGCGAGAGCGAGAGAGCGAGAGAGCGAGAGAGCGAGAGAGAGAGAGAGAGAGAGAGAGAGAGAGAGAGAGAGAGAGCGAGAGAGAGAGAGAATGGTAAAACCTAATTTAAAAGGAAGTCTAAATTATAAAAATTTCTCACCAAAAGAAACAGTTTTGTTAACTAAGTGTATTAGAATTAGGCTAATTGTAAAGATTCAGATTTAAGGAATTAAAAATTCCTTATAATTTCTGTTTCTTGCTCATCATAGTATTATCTTGTTCACCACAGTATTATCCCAGTGCCCAGCTCAGTTTGTGGCAGAGGGCCTTCAAAAATATTGTTAAACAAATATATGAAAGGATGAATCCCAGACTCCTGCCCAAAGACTGCAGATCTCTGTTACGGAAGGCTGGGAACTTTTCTACCCTTAAGTAGCTAAAATATTTCCTAAGTCATTTCTCACTATTCGCTGGCTTAATTTCCTATTTTCAGTGCAACTCCTGTGCAGTTATCACAAATATTAAATTCATGAACTACATATTAATTGGGTTTTGTGCATCTTCTCACTGAACTCATTATAGCTACAAGTCTGGGATCTGGATATATTTCAGAACGTTTAAGAAAGATAATTCATATATTATGAAAAAACACAGTAGGACCCTAACGCAGCAAGCTATGATCAAATACATTAACATTTCTGCAGCAAAGTATAAGAATAGTCACTTTAGAATAAAGATTAGAAATTGCCTGAAGTTAGCTCAAGGCAAGTTTTGCAACAAATAGTTCATGTTAGGTCAGGATTTTTGCAAGAATTGTGGACCTCAAATAGGTAGATGATACAGTATATGAACAGGCTCTTAAGAAATTCTGTTAAAAGTCAGAGCCCACAGGCCACCCTCACCTTTTCCCTATTCCTCCTGCAGTCCTTTGCAACCAAATGGCAGAATTTTAAAACATCTTTTATAACAAATGCACAAAAGCCTCTGCCTAAATATGTAACTAAGCTTTTCCCTAATTCTTCTAGATGTCACTTTCTTCATTCCCCAAACTCTTACAGTTCTGGTCATCCACCCTGTCAGCATTTAATCATGTACCAGATTATACTGGTTTTATGAGTGCAAGTCGTTTCTATCTGAAGAGATCTAAGCAACTTGAAGTCAGGTCACATACATTTAAAAACAATATACTGAGTGCCTACTATGTTCTCAATACTGGGTACACAGCAGTGAAAAAAACAAAGTACCCACCCTCAAGAAACTTACATTTTACAGCAGGCAGACAACAAATAAGTAGGCAAGTAAATAGATAATAGGTCATATGATTTTAAGTGCTAAGAAGAAAAATAAAGCAGGGAAGGATACGAAGAGAATGCAGGACAAGCCATGTAGAATGAAAAGCATTCTTGGCAGAATAGATAGTCTGGCCTAGCACAGGATGCTTCCCTGGCCGTTCCTTCCACCAAATAAAAACTGATCACTTCCTTATTTGTTCTCCCACTGTGCATTATTATCACATCTCTGTCAGCATTCTGCAGAAATCTTATGTCAGTATTGCTTCCCCAACTTAAGACAAAAATGATGTCTTATTCCATGAGCTGGCAAATATTTTTTGTACAGGGCCAGATAATAAATAGTTCAGGCATTCTGGGTCTCTGCTGACAACTACTCCATCTATCTTTGTTGCAGGAAAGCAGCCACAGACAGTATGTAAAGGGGTGAGCACATCTGTGTCGCAATAAAAATTTACTTACAAAAATAGGCAACAGGCCAGTTTGGCCCACAAGGGGTAGTTTGCCAACTCCTATCTTATCCTTTCAATCCCTAGCAACGAATGACAATATTTTTCACAGAGAAACTCAAAAACGTACTTATCAAATTGAATGGGATATTAATAAACCCTAGTTAAAATGAATTAAGCACAGGAGAAAATGTTAATTTAGTGGGTGCTATCCTTGCTCACAGATTCACCAGCCAGTGACTAAGGTGAGTATTTGCCGATTTCTTACCTAGAGTGTAGGCTATGAAGTTGAGGATGCCCACTACAATCCAAACCCAGTCAGGTACGTGCTTGTGGCCTGGTGCTGCAAAGGAAAGCAACTCAGTTTAATGCAGTCTTAAGTACAATCGTTCTGACCATAGCATATACTGCCAGTAAAAAAGTTTGTTTATTAAATAGAAGTTACAGTACTTTACAATATATTTTGAATGCAAATCTAGGTAAATATTAAAATTTATCAGTAAACTCCAGGAGAAAAAAAAAAAAAGATATAACTGCCCAACCGTTCATCAACAATAGGCATTTATTTTGAACTTTAATTCTAACTTAAGAATGTTTATCTTTACTTGAAAATTACTGTGTGCCTAGATAATGTTTTTGGAATTTTAAAAATGCTTGTGTTTAATCTGATTCTCATTGTTTATTATACTACAAACACTGTTTACTATACTACAAACATGCTTTGAGCCTTCAACCTTATACTCTCTTCCTACATTATTAATTAGCTAAACAAAAGACCTTCTAATCTGGGTATAGATAGGTTACCTCAACTGGATGATTTGGGCATCAGAATCATTCTGAAATGTCTGGATGTCACTTTTCCCCCAAACATAGAACAACTACAAATCAGCAGCTTGGGCTCTAGTCCTGGCTCTGTAATCAACAAGCACTGTGACCTGAATATATCATTTAACCTCTCATGTCTCCCATTTCTCAAATATACTGGGACTAGACGGTTGATCTGGTCTTCCAAGTTCTATGATTTGGGGAAATATATACTGTATTTACTAATATTTTTAGTTCTCTTAAGCAAAAGTAAGTACATAATCTTATTTAATCAGAGAAAATAATATTTATAGGTACAAAGATAAACTTTTGAGGCTGTCCTGAGGATTAATACAAATTTAAAGAAAAAATATCAAAACCATGCTTAATGAAATTTAATCCTACTTTTTGTTCATGTGGTACTTTATGATCTTCAATTACTGTTTTATTACATGTGCAGAAGCTATGGCTAAAAATTTCAGTCAATAAAAGTTAAGCATATAATATAGTTTCAATATCCAGAATTTCTATAATAGCAAAACGCCTAAGTGTTTAAAACTCAGAATTTTCCTACAAAAACAATGTTGTCAGTGACTGTTTATTTCTCCAGGTCGGTCCACAAAAGTCTGCTGAACCAAGAACACAGATGAACTATAATACTGAAACTCCTGAATACATCATTTGTAAGTATTCTTATTGAAAAATATGTTCTCTAACTTAGAATACAAAAAAATATTCATACCTCCATCAACTGGATGAGTGATAAAAAGAAGCCACGGCAGGCCGAGTGGCTCAGTTGGTTAAGAGTTGGCTTAAGAGCACGAGCTCTGAGCAACAGGGCCGCCAGTTCAATTCCCAAATGGGCCAATGACGCTGCACACAAGCTGAGCTGCCGCTGAGCTGCCAACAAGTGGCAGGATGGCTCAGCTGGTGTAACAAGAAGATTGCCTGTCCAATGGTGGGCTACACCCACCCACAACTAAGACTGAACTTGGCACCTTGAGTTGAGCTGCCGCCTGAATGGCTCAATGGGTAGGGCATGCGCTCTTAACAAAAAGGCTGCCAGGTTCGACCCACGCATGGAAGATGACTATGCCCACCCGCAACTAAGACTGAACTCGGCACCTTGAGCTGAGCTGCAGCCCGGATGGCTCAGTGGATAGAGCATGCACTCTTAACAGCAAGGCTGCTGGTTTGACTCCAACATGGGATGGTGGCTACACCCACCCGCAACTAAGATGGAACACAGCACCTTGAGCTTAGAGGCCACGAGCTGCCGACGAGAAGCCAGATGGCGACTGGCGCCCTCCACAACGAAGACTGAAGAACAACAACTTGGATGATCCCCTTCCCTAATTCCCCAATACTGTTCCCCTCCACCAATTCCCCAATAAAATCTTTAAAAAAATAATAAGAAGAAGCCATCTCCCACAATCCACCCCCATCCCAAATACACTCCAGACTCACTCCTATTGCCTGGGGCAGAACCTGGGAGTGGGAGAATGGGAAGATAGAAATAGGTGTGAAAGAAGATATTAAAGTCCGAGGCAGGAACAGGCTGAAAACTGCCTCCGAAATTGCTTCATTCCTCTCTTCCTCAATAGGGATCCAGACTTCTGTTAAATATTTAAGGTCTAAGAACCATTTTTAGAGGAAACTGGGAATTATAAGCAAGAAACAATGCTAAGCAGAGGGAAAGAGACATTATATTTCCTTTAGAAAACAGGATTTTTCTTCCATAACTAGAAAAAGGAAAGGGATGTTTCTGCAATTGGTAGGTAGATGGGGCTCTGCTTATAGTCATCTTCAGGCAGTTCTGCAGTCCTAATTCTCCATCTTATAAATCCAATTATTTTTTAATAAAACCTCATGCTTTTTAGATAGCATATCTAAATTCAATAGCCAAGTTAGTCTCTAGAACTTAACAGAAACATATGTAATAGATTGTGAAAACACAGCTTTTATACCCAGTTCTGACATTTTACATACACTTACAACAAATAGCCAAACTTTTCAGAAATACAAGCATCTTAATAGAACCAGAAAATAACCATATCTCATTTTTCTCTATTTAAACATTTTAAATTAATAGTTATAATCCTACCTGAAGCATAAAAATCAGGATCAAAGTATGCCATAAGTAGAAAATTGAATACGACCAGCAGAAAGCCAGAAAAGGTTATCAGATTTGGAGCCAGCCAAGTAGGAAATACCTGTTTTTCAAAATAATTACAAAATAGTTAAAGTAGAGGAATCTCTCTGTCCACTACACATCACAACATACAAATTTAAGTGATACTAAAAGCTATAATTTAAAAGATCATATACAGGAGTTATTTATATTAAAATGTAAACCATGATCTCCAGTTGATAGAAACAAGCGCTTCTACTCTGTGTTTTAAAAAATGCTATAATCAACAAACTTTTATAACCACAACATTACATTTATTTTAGAAAATTTAAAAGGGCATTTTACAAAATTATAAATTCCAGAGTATAAACTTAGATTCCAACAATAAGATAAATCAAAAGTTACATAACTAAGGGAAAGGGGGATGGGAGGGGTAATTTCTCTAGATAACTTATTAAACTGACAGTTGCATCCATAACACTCCATAAAATAATTTGAAATATTTAAAACTTACTGAAACATAAGTGCATGCCTATTAATCATCTTACCTTTACTACAGCGTTCCAAAATGGATGCATGATATACAGAGAGAGTGGACTGGTATCCACAGCACTGTACTGTTAAGACATGAAAGGAAATAATCAGTGTTAATCCTTGCACACTAGCAAACAGAACAACTTTTCTTAAATGCAAATAACAGTACAAAAATAACCTGGAAAATCTGTCTATTTATAGGATATCCTCATCTGAATAATGAAACTAGAGGAGCAAGATAAGTGGAGCAAAGACTGTCAAGCATAGCGAAATATGTATTTTGCTAATCAACTTCTATGTTATAATGTTTCAGTAGAAATACTATATTGCTTACAAGCTCTCGCTATACAGGATCAGTAATATGCACACAGTGTGCATTCAAACACTGCTCATATACCTTCTTAACTTCTTTCATCCCTTCAAACTACAGGAATCTAGTTGTTTTACCTCTAGATACCATTACTAATGCACTTACTAGCTGTGTGACCCTGGGCAAGTTACTTTAACGGCTCTGCCTTAGTTTCTCCACCTGCAAGATGGGGATGATGACCTTTACCTCAAAGAATTACCATAAGTATTAGACAAGTTAATAATATACGTGAAGTGCTTAGAACAGTATCTGGCCTACAGCAAGTACTATATAAGTATTAGATATTATTATTAAATGTGTTTTGAGCACCAAAAGAATGACTGATCCCTTTACAGCAGAAAATAAGCTGCATAAATAAGCAAAGGAAGGCAACAGGTTAGGGTTCTGTAAGTTTACTCCCCAATTTTTGAGCTATTTAGTAAAAATTCAAAGGAAATTTTAACAAATACCTGTATTTAAATATGTAAAATTTAAGAATGATGTCGGTAACTTATTCATCAGACATACACATATTGGAGTACCTGGCATGTAGGAAGCACTCCACTCTATGTAGAAAAGAAGGGATACAAAATTGGTAAGGGGCAATTCCCACCCTCAAGGAGTGGGAACATTATCTAATTCATCCAGCTGACATTTAAAGAGTGTCATAATAGTTAAATATTTGAAAAAAGTTTCAATCGTGTTTTGCATTTATGCTTGGTATGTATATGAAATAAGCAGTAAGCATTTGAGTATCTAATTTTTTCTTAAATCATAATTAAACATTAAAATTTCTTCCTGAATATTTTATGAACATACAGGAAATATTTTCTCATCAGTGTTTCAAGACTTAAAGGTATGATGGAATAAAATAGTAAGAAAACTTAATGTAAAACACTGCAAGCAAAGAGAGTTAACTGGTAAGTCAAATGTTTATTCATCAGACTCAATGTCTGAGTGCCTCCCTATCTCCAACCCATTCTGAATGAAATGGGGAAAATGTGAACAAAAGATGTGAGGTGGACAGTGGGAAGAACATCGTGATGGAGAATGCGTCTGCCTCTGCTGGCCAGAGTAAGAAGCTATGCGGTTGCACCCAGACTCTCAGCTGGAGCCTAGTACTTAAATGAGTATCACACAGTTCTTACGAAAACCAACTTCTAACTGCATGGTTCTCTACAGTCTACAAAGCTTGCCCACATGATAGATACCACTACATCTGAACTTCTGCAGAATGAAGGAGTCCTCATCTGACATGACTGCCTGAATTTAAGTCTTCAGGCCTGAGGACTGGAACCAATATGAACCCCTAAAGGCTGCCGATGACAAAATGGGAGGGCTCTGGCCTCCTCCACTTCACAAAAGTCTACACCCAGACCCACAAGATATAGTCAGCAGGTCAGACAAACGGGAAAGCCACATATTTCAAGTTCACCAAAGTACAAAAGTTGTAAGAAGTCCAAATCAGAAGAAAACAGTTTAAGACACCACACGAGTAGATAATACGATATACAAAGTACAATGCCCTTAATTCAAATGTTTGCTGAATGAGTCTCATTAAGCAGCTTTCCATAATTTGACTTAAGATCTAAAAGAAGGTCCTTAAAACTGATGGTATTTTGATTTGAAAAGTTCCGCATTTTACCGTATTTTGCCATGTATAATGCACACTTTTTTGCCCAAATATGTGAGGGGAAAAATAAGGATGCACATTATACAGGGACAGCATTAATTCCATATCTATATAAATGTTTTTAATTATTTTATTTATGCTTATGAGTTAAAAGTGTAACTCTAGAAATCAATAACGATATCCATATGCAAAATAATACCCTGGTATACAATAATCAGTTTTATTGAACTTACCACAAACTTGCAAAGAAAGGAATTTCTGCCAACAATTCAATGAAATGAAACAAAGAGCAACGTATTGTTATGCACAGAGTTAAGTGACTCTGACTTGATAAGATAGGAGCTGCCAAGTTTATTACCAAAGGGTGAAAAGCGCTCCATTTCTCTTCGTATACTTTAGACGGGAGCTAGCAATCTAGCTGATATTTTTACAAAAATTACTGGAACATCACTTGGAAAATTAAAATGAAAGGTTTTTTCCCTGAAAGTTTAGGCCAAAAACGTGGGTGCACATTATACATGGGAGCGCATTACACACGGCAAAGTACGGTCAATTCTGAAGCTTTAACTCTAAATCTCTATTTCAGGAGACCAGTAGAAGTATGAAAAGAATGTAGAACTAAGTACAAGAAGGTCAGTTTGCCTAAATGGCTTTCTTACATTCAATAATAGCCGATGGGCTCAAATACAGCAAGAAAGATCAATATGAGATTACAAAAGACAGCAAATAATACACCTAAAGAACACTCTGAGCTCTAGCCTTACACACCTGAGTATTTTTTAAGGTCACTTAGCAGTTGGTCTACACAAAGGAACTTAAAACTGCCTTGTGAATCAACAGGAAGAAAGAGTCAAATGTAAACTTTGAAAGGTGTTAAACTAGGTTTACTTTACACGTTAATGCTTGTTAAGTTTATTTTTATGTTCCATTGGAATGATGTTTTCATATACACCAGAATACCTGACCAGGTATGTTATCCACTGTGCAGGCCTACTGTGACTTGTGTGGCTCTCCAACCTGCTGGGCCAGGCTAAGCTAGTGCCTTGGAGAAATGATTGAGAACCACAGCCTGAGTTTGAGAGAATCATTCTATGGCAAAACCTCAGAACCACAAGAGCATTCAGCAGATATCTAGTTCTTGCATGCCTGACCCTCATCTATGAGAATAGGTAGAACAGTCACCTGGTCTCTTTTTAAATGCCTCTACTTATAAAAAAACTCACTACTTCCAGAAGCAACCCAATCCAATGTTAAAGCAGCTTTTCTATACACTAAAAAATCCTCTACTTGACCTTGATTTTTCTATCCTGTTTTCTTTTGCCTTATAAAGTTAAGCAGACAAGGGTCTAATTTTTCATCCAAACAATAGTCATTCCATTAGTTGAAGACAACTCTCCCTGTCGCACCTAAATCTTGTCTTCACCTGGTGAAACATCCCATGTTCTTTTTTTTTTTTTTTAAGATTTTTATTGGGGAATTGGGGGGATGGGAACAGTGCTGGGGAGTTGGGGGAAGGGGAACAGACAAGTTGCTGTCATTTTGTTCTTCAGTCCAGTTGCGGAGGACGTCGCTTCACTGGCCCAAGTTGGCACCATCATTGCGCTCTTCCCGGGTGAGGCAGAACAGCTGCCGGCTTCTGGACGGCCGTTCACTGCAGCTGCTAGCCGCTCACGCTGGCTGCTGGCTACACACGGCAGCCCATGGCAACCCACTGCCACAGGGGCTGCAGCCTATGCCGTCGCCGGTGACTCACGGCAGCCCAGCTCCAGGTTGCGCTGTTATTCAGCATCTCAGCTGTGGAGGGCAGTGTCACTGGCCCTCATATGTGGGATACGAACCGGGGCCCTCTGGTGTCCCAAGCCAGTTCTTAACCATCGTGCCATTCGGCCGGCCCTCCCATGTTCTTTTCGTGATTCCTCTTTTGCCATGGTTTCAAACTCCTTCATCTACGAGTACGTCTAGTTCCCTAGACCAGAGGTTGGAAAGTTTTTTTTGTTTTGTTTTTTTAAGATTTTATTGGGGAATTGGGGGAGCGGAACAGCATTGGGGAATTGGGGAAGGGGAACAGACAAGTTGCTGTCCTTTTTGTTCTTCAGTCTAGTTGTGGAGGGGGAAGCTTTTCATGAAAAGGGCCAGACTGTAAATATTTTAGGCTTTGCAGGCCATATGGTCTGTGTAACAAACACTTAGCACTGCCACTGAAGCAAAAAAACAGTCACAGTTTGACAACTTGTGCTCCAGGAAATCCAATTTGTTAAACCAACTCCAAAGTGTGACCCAGGGCAAAAGGAACATCTCAAGTGGGGCACTGAGTAGAATGAGAACGTAACTATAAGCCCCTCTTCCTCAATAACTTATTTCTCTGGTGCTCAACAGATTATAAATTTCTTGTGGCAACAAATCATACTGCCGACTTACATACAATTTCAGTCATCTGAACCCCCAGGCCTTTCTTATATGGACTGCTAAGCCATCCTTCTCTATGCTATTGGGACCTAAGTGTAAGACTCTACATTTACTATTTTAACATTTCATCTTGATACACTCAACTCGTCTTTCTATCCCCTCCAGATCTCTTCGGATTCAGACATGGTTATCCAAAGTAATTGCTATGCCTCCCAAAACTCGCAGCATGCAAATCTGTCATGCCAATAATGCCTTCACTTGTCTTTGCAAAAATGATAATCAAGGAAGAGCTTCTAAACATTTCCCTCAAGATTGCTATTACTACATTTAGTAACTTTTATTTGGGTATACAATTCTGTACTGTCATCTAGAGCAATTACTCTATCTTGCGCACAAGAAAAGATATTCATAAAGTCTTACTAAAATCCAGAATTACCTTAGATAGCATTTTGTCAAATATTAGAAAGTTTCAGGGCCGGCCGAGTGGCGCAGTGGTTAAGAGCTGGCTTGGGGCGCCAGAGAACTCCGGTTCGAATCCCATATATGAGGGCCAGTGACACTGCCCTCTACAGCTAAGATGCTGAACAACAGCTCAACTTAGAGCTGGGCTGCCATGAGTCACCGGCGATGGTGTAGGCTGCAGCCCCTGCTGCAGTGGGTTGCCATGGGCTACCGTGTGTAGCCAGCAGCCAGCG